AGAGTCATGACTCGGATATCAGATTTTTATTCCAGAGCTTTTCTGGACAGAGAAGAGTGAAACTGTTGAGAGGATCATGATTTAGGGAAAGTGTCTTGCAGCAGCCCTTCTGCTGTGTGGGCACCAGATGGCACTGTGATTATGCAAGAATCCATCTAGCTTAATCCGTTCCCTCCCTTCCCTCCCCACCACTTAAACAGGAGGGAAGTGGGCCCCTCCACAGGCAGGTATTAAAGCAATTCATCCAGGGTGTTGCCACAAGCTGCTTAAAAGGGAAGTCAGATTATGTCATCTGAATATGACACCTCCATCTACCGTGGTTCAGGCAACTTTTTAAAATAAGCTTTGAAAAAACTTTCTTATATTTTCATTTATTTTTGAGGAATCCCCAAATGTACAGCCATGTTTGAGCTGCCTATTTCTATCTTCCTTACTCAGAGGCTGCAGATTTGCTTCAACCTAGCTTTGAATGATGTTTTAGGAGATTTTGCACACATTCAAGCAAAGCAATACACCTGTTTGTATCCTGTATACCCACACTGGTGGCATGTCCTCCGTTCTGCACCTACACCCAGGAATATTCCAATCACCCATCACTCTGGCCTCCAGTTCTTTATAGGTTCTCTAACTAACACGCCCCAATTGCAGCCTCTTAAAGACCAGCAACAATGCATGGCCTCATGGGCCTCCCTGGCCAGTTTTGTAGCCTGCTTCATTGAATGCATGGAATATTTTGCTGACAGATTAACAATGCCCCATGTGTCTGATGAAGTGGGCTACAGTTCATGAAATCATGCACCATAATAAATGTGCTGGCCTTTGCCTCAAGATAGTTTATTGGTTTTGCTGCAACAGATGAATGCTGGAAATTAATACTGTATTAGCCAGCAGTTTCATAGCGCGTTATGCAAACCGGAAGATTCTGGAAATCTAAAGCATGGTTGGGAAATCTATGCCATCCACATAGGGTTGGATTCCAGTTTCTATCAGAAATGTCATAGATGTGACATTTACACGTCATAGACTTGTAACCCCATTAATTTTTAGCCCTCCCATTGACATTTCTGCCTTCTAGCTTTGTGTGTGTACATCCCGACACACTCCATTGTTTTTCTTACAATGGATGAATGGAAATTATACCTCCGGAACATACTCGATTGCAGCATATCCAGGATCTCCATTTTCTCCTCCCTTTGGGATTTAAAGGGCCACAAATGGAGATTTGATCTAACATCATTTGGGTGGCAGAGGGAAGATTGGGCGGTGAAAATGTTCTCTCCTTAATATAGAAGCTGTAGACCTCTATTATTGGAATGGAGATGAAGTTATGGAGCTGGCTGTTGGGAAAAACAAATTATTCTAGCCACCTGTTTCTTATTTTGTATGAAAATGTACAATTACTAAATAAAGAACACTCTCTCAAAAATAAGAAACGTATGGCAAGCCTAGAACAAGTAACACTACCTGAAATAAAATATCACAAATACTATCAATCCTGAACACCTAATAAGCGTTTTAAATGAAAGCAAGAAGAGTAATGCTGGCTGAAATGGAACTTTGTTAACTTTTTTGATTCAGCCTTCCATCCTTCCGAGGTGGGTAAAGTGAATTGTTGGGGGCAATATGCTGACTCTGTAAACTGCTTAGAGAGGCTTGTAAAGCACTGTAAAGCAGTAAATGCTATTGCTATTACTATTAAACCTGGTAAGAATTTGCATGGAGGCTACCAGGAAATCCCAAATTGGTGGGATTATTCTGCTCCAAAGGGCAGACTGTTATCTCCAGGATTTAAATTCCAGAGAAGCAAAAACAAAATGTAAGACTGCAGGATGACTGAATTTCTCATACAAAAATATTTGTCATTATGTGTAGTATTGGGAAAAATCTAGATATGAATCTTCTGTATTCTATCCTGTGAATCCTCAAGTGAGATTGTAAGAATCTTGTAGGATCCTATTCTGGGGTAAGCTTTTGGGACATATCATCCATTTCCCTGGATTGTGAAGTCCTTGGTGCTCTCTGAGCTCAGTTGTGGCTTGCAAAAGTTTCACTAACCAATTAGGCAACATCACCAGTGCTAGATGGTGTGGGGTTTACTCCCTGTTTACAGTAGCTGCCAGTAAGGGTGGGGGGTGGGTTTCTCCTTGATAACTCCATACTCAGTAGCCCTGATGATGTTACCTAATCGGGTAGTGAAACATTTGTAAACAGACAACTAAGCTCAGAGAGTACCAAGGACTCCACAGTTCAACCCTGAAAAGTTATTCTGTTACTGCTAGACACAGTGGAATCTGCAGACAGGGTTGTTAAACAGGGATATTAGCTGGATCTTTGCTGCAGATTGATGAAAAGTGGAAAACCACTATTTCTTTTTAAATGTATTTTTATTTATTAAACTTACGTGCCACCCAACTTTTGCATTCGATTCTGTTTACAATCTGTGGCTACTCTCATGGCCACTTGGGGAGAATTTGGCCTCTGAGGAAAAACCTTCTTTTCCAGCTACTGATTACACTAAATATTGCTTTTGCAGTGCCATGCAGCCTTCCATGCATTTGAGCTTGGCTTGAAAGGATTTGAGACCTTTTGATCACGGACAAAATTGCTTCCAAACCTGGAACAGAACAAACAATATTTAGATCAAATCACCATTGAGAAGGATGCTTCCAATGTTTGTGGTGCATGAAGAATAAAACAAACTCGTAGCAAAAGAGGAGGGAACCTCTTTTATGTATAGGGGAAAATACTATCCTGCTGTCATGTGTTTATATGTGCTTTGAGGATCTCTCTTTTGCGCACGCTAATTTTGAACCATCCCAATTTTGTTATATAGACACTTTTCGGCCTATCTTTGCTGCTACATAGTCTTGATTTTCCTTTATCAACTCCTTCTGGTTGAACTAATCTGCTTCATGCATTGTTGAATGGCGTTCAGATCTGTAAAAATAATCGTTTTAAAATTAGATACAGACAGACAATTTAATATCTAAAACTTCGACCTTGTTACAAATTTGTGTGGGTAGCAACTGCTACTATCAAGTGCTACAGAACAGTCCAAAGGAATGTGCTGTCCATATGTTCAAGGGAACCTCTCCGTGAATGATGCATTTAGTTTTCCTTCGCTGACCCTTCGGTGGAAAACGTTACTAGAGCTGCTCCAGTCCGAATTAAATCCTGACCCCTCTACTCACAACCACCTGACCCGACCTCCCTTCCCTTCCCAGTACAGGGCACTATAACCCGAGAAAAATTTGCCTTAGTTTGGTGGGTCTGTCTCCCACCTTCTCTCCCCGTTTGTTTTTAAACCTGGAGTCACACCCGCATCCCCTCGCTGGCTCCCGCCGCCTAACACACTCCGGCGCACGTGGCCCTTGCCAAGCTCGGTAGCGCTCGCTCAGTGGCATCTGGTTCCCATTAGAGGCCTAGGGAGTGTTGAGTTTCAGCGGTTTCTGAGGGTTGCGATGCCAGGCAGCATCCAAGCCAACATCCCTCCCCCCCCATCCCCGCTTCCCTTCCTTTCTCTTCTCTGGATCCCATCCCGGGTTGGGTTGGGCTGAACCGGGTCCTCCCCCGTTTCTTCTGAAGAGAGCCCCTCCCGTGAGCCCCGCGGTTTATGACTCATCGTGAGCGAATGAATGCTAGGGGAATAAAAAGAAGGGCGGGAGGGGGGGGTGCTAGACCGGACAGAGCTGGGATGGGAGTGAACGTGGATGCGTGTGTCAAATGGAAATGGAGCGTCTTGCTCGCTCCTCCGCGGCGAAATGTCTCCACGTCGCCCACCGCCCGATCTCCTTTCTTCCTCCGTGATCCATCCCCGCTCTCCATCGCCCGGCGTGCTCTGCCTCCTCCCCGCCACCCATGAGGTGTCCATCATCCCTCATCTCTTGGCTCCTGCTGCCATGACAACGTGCCCTGGATGGTACACCAACAGCGGCGGCGGCAGCCTAGCAAAGGGGTGGGGGAGAAGGAACTAGGGCCCCGTTGGGTGGGGGGGAGGAGAAAGGCCACGAGGTGCTCGAGTGGGATTCAGTGACGAAAAGACCGAGGGAGGGGGGATACTAGGAGACGCAACCGCATATACACTCTGGTTTTACACACACAACCGTGCAACTAGTGTCTTTAGGAAGCGGCGATTCTCCGCTTTCACCGCCAGGGGGCGCCTTCTGCCCAACGTCGGGGCTCAGACGGCTGAGATGGGATGGGATGGAAAGGGTGTAAATAGGGAAAGGATAAACTAAGGGGCAAACTCATTGCTCGCATCCAGCCATCTTCCGTTTTTCTTTCTCGAGGTTTGGAGCTTCCAGCACTTTTTTCCTCAGGCGCCTTCCTTCAAATAAATGAGCTAGTTCAAACCAGAGCAAGAGACCTCGTAATAGAGACAATATGCCGGTAGATTAACGCTCCGCTTGTGCAATCGCGCTTCGTCTCCTTCTGTACAGCTACAGCTGAAGGGTTCCTCTTGAAGCCCGGATCCAGCTTTTACAAAACAAACGGGAGAGAGCTCGAGGGAGCCCCGCACACCCTCAATGCTGGATAGAGTTCAGCCCAGTTGCCTCGCACATTTTACAGGCATCTCCCCTGTGCCGCGGCTGCCTTCCGTCTCGGCTCTTTCAAGCACAGAGCTCAAGCTCAGCCTACATTGAAGCCACCCCGTTCCCAACACCCCGACTTTCCAACTGGCCCCAGCTCAAGGGTCTGGTCTGGATGAATGAATGCCCGGGCAATACCACTTCAGGGTCCGGGGGCGCCCGTGCATGGCGACTATTTGGCGGTGAAGAGAGAGAGAGAGAAAAATCCCCTGCTTTTAACCGAGGACAGGGGCGGAGGCTCAGTCCCGGAGAGTCAGGAAAGAGAGATCCACTGGGGTGAGTGGAGAGGGGCTTCCACAGCCATCTCTGATCTTTCGCCTCCCCCTGCCCACCTCCAGTGGTTCTGGCCACATTTAAAGGGTTCAGACCGGTTGGGACGGGCGCAGACGCCGAGCGACCGCGGCGGCTGGAGGCGGGAGGGCGGGCGTCTTCGCGGGCGGGCGTGGAACCGGCTGCAAACAGCGGCAGGTTAGAATTCGGATTCGCGCGAATCGCAAAGCAATCGGGGGGCGGGGAGAGTCGGAGTGAGGGGACGAATAGAGCAGGCAGATCGGCACCTCTCATCCTCCCCTTCTCCTTTCCCGAGCAGACGCCGTTTAAGAGGCGCCGTAAGCGGAGGAGCTGGTCGCGAGGGTCCGCGGTGCGGGGGTCTCGGATCGAGGCGGCCGATTCTTTCCGTCCCCGCCTGCGTTGGGTCTCTGGACAACAGGGCGGGGGAGAACCAGTGACCGTCTCTGTGGTGAGAGCAGACGCCCCATCTCTCGCCCTCTTGTCTTGTGTTTTTTTGGGGGGAGGGGGGGTTTGCACGGTTTTCTGTCCCCCTCCCCATTCCCCTCTTTCGTTATTGCTACCATTCAAGAAGATCTCTCGTTTCCCTCCTGGTCTGGTTGGGAAAGAGGTTCTTATTGCAAGCGTGCGGCCGTCACAGGAAGGAAACAGGGCCGGGGGCGTGGGGAGGGGGCGGCAGGACGACGAGACGAACAGGTAAGATAATATGTGTGAGAATGCAAAATAAGGAGGAGGCTAGCGTTTTGAGCTGCTATCTCTGGATCAGGGCGAGGTAGTGGTGGTGGTGGGGAGAGCTCCGCTTTCCCCTCCCCACAAAGGCTTGGTTTCTTATTCTGCTTGAGCCCAAGGAGGGGTGGAGAAGGCTGGCTAACGCCCATCAGACTCCAGCTGGGGTTGATTCGTTGTGGGGAGGGGGGGGTTTGCTTGCTCGATAATATGCATCACCCTACCACCCCTTAATCTTGTGGTTTCCTGGGATTTGTCAGTCAGTATGTTCCTTGGTATTTTGGTGCTTGGCTTTTGTAGGAAAAGAAGAGGATCTCTCCTTACCCCATTCTTTTGTCGGAACTCCAAACCCATAATCAGATTTAGGAAAATGTTCACATGCCTTATCTTAATAGAGCTGTAACTTATGCTGGCAGCCAACATCACTAGTGCTGTGCCATTCAGAGAAGGCATATAATGGAATATATATATATTCCATTTCAAGAGAAGGGATCCCCTATGTGAGAATTGGGTCAACTTGATTGATGATGCATTCTTGGAAGAAAAGCATTTGAGATGTTCTCATTATCTACAACTGAATAAGTTGCTAGAAGCACTCTTTTTTTTATATATATAAATGCCATAGGTCAAATGAAATTATCCCCATTTTACAGACTGGAAAAATCAAGAGATCAGCTTCATCCTGGAGGAGCCCTGCTTGCAAATTCTGTTGTGACAGGTTCTCCAGTCTGGAGGGTTCCAATGGACTGCTATGAAATGCATGTGTAACAGGTTGGTCTCCTTCCCTGTCAAGAGAAAAATGGGTAGATCTTCATTTTCCAAGGTTTCTCACTTGTGAATGAATTTGGGATTTTAAGGTATCCATTCTTGGGGGCGGTGGGGCGGGGAGATGGCTACAGTTGCTCTTCTATCCAAGGTTTAGTTATGCTTTTTCCAGGCTTCTCTGGGAAGGAGAGGAAAATATGATATATTTTGGATGGGAGAATTATACTGCAAGGTGGATAATAGAGAAGCTTGATTTAAATAGTGTATTGGAGAGTTTATATTCTGAGTAGTGATTTCTACTTCTAGGAATTCTTTCTAAGTGGCCACAAGTAGCAGAGCCGTTTCACTGAATAAAAAGGGAAATTTATATATATGGATTGGATTAATCTGAAGGCAAAATATTGAACATTAGACTAAGGTTTTAGTGTAATCCTATGTTGTTATTTATTAGCATCTATTGTGAGAAACCATGGTGGGTGGGTGTGGAGGATTGAATATGATTGAAATGCAACAGAGGGTACTGTAGGTATGAATATATTCGTGGCAAGGGAGTATATTCTGTGTCTGTGTATAGTATTGCAGTCTTAGTGGCAATGAATTTTGTTTTATGTGCATGTTTGAATATTGTGAAGAAACCTCACAATGGATCCTTCCAAGTACCTTCAAACTACAAACTCTTTCTTATCTCCAAATTTGGTCTATAGATCAACCATAGTGACTGGTATGCTTCTGTGGAAGATCCCATATTCTTGATTTATAAAATTTGATGATTTGGGATAAGGTAACCAGATTTAAGGTGACTAGAGATTGTGTTCTACCAATTAGAATAGGCAAAGCAGAGAGACCTATCTTAATCTGACTTCTTCCTCTCTTTACTGAATGAGTTGTGGGAGGTGGGTGGCGGGTGGCACACAATCTTGGGAGTACATAAAAGCATGTTTGCGTGGCTGACCTACTTCTGAAACTTTTGAAGCTCCTTTACAAACTATGTGATGGACTGTACAAATACCTCTTGGTTTTAGAGCATGAATTCTTTGTGTGGTCCATAGACCATTGATAGTCCAAGGAAATAGAGCCCCCACCTCCCCACCCCATCGTTCACAGGCAAAAGTCCACTCATTGCCTTCATTCTTGTCTTTCCACATATGCTGGATTGTTGGATCATTGGCTGAAAATTGGGTCATTGAAATGAAGTGGGTACTAAAATTCAGAAAATAGGCTGTAACAAACATATCTCAAGTGCAGCTATTAACTTCAGTCCACATTTGCTGTGCTGATAGCAATTTGGCATAAAGAACCCCAACATAAAAATGCTAATAAAATGATAAATATCTAAATAGATTTAAACACCCATTCACCTCTAGACTGTTGGTACTCAGAGATATCTACTAAAGAACTTTCTTGACCAGGAAATTTATTTTAACAGTTGTTAATAGAATACATACATTGAAGTAAAAAAATGAATAAATATTTAATTATGGATGTGTGCAAAATTTAGTTTTAAAAAGCTTTTAGAAACAGCTTTTCGAAACTAAATTTTAAATGGGAAACACACTTTAAATGAAAACATAGAGAATGGGTTGTTCATATTCTCCCCATTTTCCAAAAGTTTGTTCAGTGGTCCAGGAGCATACTTGGCTTAAGGTATTGAATTTAGAGAAAAAGAATATGAAAGCAGGGTATTGCTATCTTTCTTGACTTTTGTGAAAACTTTTTTTTTTAATGTGAAGGAATGTGTGATATTTACTGCATGAACTTAACTTTTGATAGGGCTTCGGGTGGATGGATTTGGAGCTACAACTGTCTGTTTGTTGGTTCCTATAAGCTGTAAATACACATTGTACTTTAATTACCAATTTGTAGCAATGCACTCCTGCGGTTCTCTTCCTCCTGAACCCTCTCCTGTTACTTTCAATGTTCACAGTCAGATTCAGTCATCTTTGTAGATCTGAGGACAATGTGTATTGTGAATTAATGCAGTTGAAATTTTAAAAGTGTGAATTTGTCCACATTAGGTGAGGAAAGATTTCTTTCCAAGTGTTTGTGGAGATGGTGTAATACTGAGAAAGGTGAGAAGAGAAATGTGGGGGAAAAATATCTGAGTGGCATAAAGAGATCGTGAAGGCTATTAGCATGCACCTTGCTTGATTTCACATTATTTAACTATCTAGCTGTATGAATAAAACTAATTTAGTGGAAAGTATTGTTGGAGTGGATAGGAAAATGTGGCATTTTTCTAATGGTTCATTCACACATGCAAAATTTTCCCTTGCTGATGGAACCCATTAAGCAATGGAGCTGTTTAGCTGAATAGTTCTTTGAGGTCTCATTGTAAAGTATTGAAGGCAACACCATCCCCATCTCCATTGTGATCATGCACATCTGCTAGTGCACATGCACAGCATTTAAAGTGGGTACAAACCTGTTGCAATATGAACTGCTAGCATGTGAGGGATCTGCAATTATGCTGCTGTAATAATGGTGCACATATGATAATTGTGGGCCGTGGGTATAAAAGTGAATGCACAATGTGCAGCACAAGAAGGTTTCTTCCTACTTCATATATTTAAACGAAGCCCCCCGGTGTGTATACTGAGAAGCCATTACATTGGAGGGCTTGTAATTGGGGCTATACATGTGCATATCTGTAATACTGAGAAGGAAACTGCTGCTCAGGTGTGCAGTCTTTGCTCCTTCCTCATGACAGGTGCCATTGTTGGGTTTGGCTTTTATGAGCTGTTGCATGTATGTGCAGGAGAAATGCAGCACTGGCTTTCCTTCTCACTCCCGCATGCCGATACTGGTAGGTGCTAAATTGCAGCTGGAAACAGATGCTGTATGGAACAAGAAAAGGAGGGGGGGGGTTTGAGGCAGTGCCTGTTCCTTTGGAGAAATGGGGCTCCCTATCTTAAGTTTTATGGGGCTGTCATGATGCATTCAGAACCTCTTGGGGACATGTAGCTAGAGGAGTCCCAGATTGGTGGGATGAGCCCAACAGACCTTATAAAATGGTCACATTTTACTGAGATGGGATAAGGCTGTATATGCCATGCAGCCTTGAGTGCTATGCTGTGCTTTTTATTTTTCTGGATTTTTTTTCTTTTTCATTCGCAACACACATTGAAGCTGGACCTTAATTTCTGTCTCCCTTGCAGGCTGAATGATCTGCCTGCGCCTGGCCCTGCCTGACCCCAGGCAACTCCCCAGTGATCATGTGGTGGCTGCTCCTTCCTGTCACCATCGTAGCTGGTGTCCTGCTCTCCTGGCCACCCCCTGTTTGGGGCACCCGTATTGTCTTCACGGTCACAGACATGGCCCTTACCCATCTGGCTGTGCACCATGAGACTGGGGATGTCTACTTGGGTGCCGTCAACCGCATCTACAAACTCTCAGCCAATCTGACCCAGATACGGGCTCACACCACGGGGCCAGTGCCGGATGACCCCAGATGCTACCCTCCCCCAGGTGTCCGGCTCTGTGCCCATCGGCTGTCCCCTGCTGACAATGTCAACAAGCTGCTTCTGATTGACTATGCTGGCAACCGTCTTGTGGCCTGTGGCAGTGTTTGGCAGGGAGTGTGCCAGCTCTTGCGGTTGGAGGACTTGGCCAAACTAGGGGAGCCTCACCAGCGCAAAGAGCACTACCTTTCGGGGGGGCGTGAACCAGACGCCATGGTCGGTGTGATTGTGGAACAGCTGAGAGAGCCCAGCCAGTTCTTCGTGGGCACTTCAATCGGAGGACGTTCGGAGTACTTCCCTACACTCTCCAGCCGCCGGCTTACTCCTGATGCCACCAGCCCAGAGATGTTCAGCCTGGTGTATCAGGATGAGTTTGTCTCTTCTCAAATCAAGGTCCCTTCTGACACTCTCTCGCTCTACCCTGCCTTTGATATCTACTACGTGTCTGCATTTGTGTCTGGCGGTTTTGTGTACTTCCTCACTTTGCAGCTTGACACTGCTCAGACGCCCCTCGAGCCTGCTGGAGGTCCCGTTGGCCCTGGCGCAACGGGTGGGGAGCGCTTCTTTTCATCCAAGATTGTGCGCCTGTGTGCCAATGACACAGAGTTCTACTCTTACGTGGAATTTCCTCTGGGCTGCTCCAAGGACGGGGTGGAATACCGTCTGGTCCAAGCGGCTCAGCTGGCCAAAGCTGGCCGACAATTGGCCGAGTCGCTGGGCATTGCAGAAGGGCAAGATGTGCTTTACGCCGCCTTCTCGCAAGGCCAGAAGAACAGGGCAGCACCACCCCGGGAGAGCCTGCTCTGCCTTTTCACGCTGGATGAAGTCAATCAACGCATCCGTGAGCGTATCCAGTCATGCTACCGTGGTGAAGGGCGACTCTCTCTACCGTGGCTTCTCAACAAAGAATTGCCCTGCATCAACACGGTATTACACTATCAAGCAATCTCTGCTTCCTCATTTCCTACCTAATAATTGTCCGTTTCCATTCCCTTCTATAATAAGAATCCCAGCCATCCCGGCCCTTGAAAATTGCTTTTCTTTTTCTTTGCTCTTTGTTCTTATCTTATCCCAAGACTGCAGCTCAAATCTGGGAACTTTTGTTTGGCCCTTGTGGTTAATGACATACTTTGATAACAGGGGCACAAATATCTGAGTAATATGCACAGACAAGGGGCTTGTTGGATAACACTGTGTACTTAAGTTACTAATTCCCATGTGATGCTGACCCTCATGTCCCCTTTTTTGCGTCTTTCTAGCCCATGCAGATCAATGGCAATTTCTGTGGATTGGTACTGAACCAACCCCTAGGAGGGCTGCAGGTCATCGAGGGACGCCCATTGCTCCAAGAACAGACAGAGGGCATGGCCAGTGTTGCTGCTTATACCTATCGTGGCCATTCGGTCGTCTTCATTGGAACCCGTGCTGGCAACCTGAAGAAGGTCAGATGATCTTGGTGCCTGGGAAGGGGCTTGGGGTAGAACCTGGAAAGAATCAGTGGGAGGATGAAGATGATGACTAAGGGCTGAACATATACAAATGTTCAAGGGTTTTCATTTCCCCAGTATTTCTATTTACCTCTCAGAGATGTAAAGAAACTTGTGTTTATTCCCAGCTGGTGACACGGCTCTGTATACATCATCCTTGTCTGTGCTCTGAGAGAAAAATGAGTAAGAAACTTAGCAGCAGCGAAGCCCTATTACCTGCAAAACCATTTATTTAATAGCTTTGTTTACAATGGGCTGAAAATATTAGTAATAGTGGGGTGGGCTGAGTAATATTATATTATTTAAGGGAACAATTTGATCAAATTTTATTTTCCTGCTACAACACATATGTCAGCATATGGATTTTCCCCCCTGTCCCTTATAATCCTCCAAGAAAGCTTCATAGGTGACTCAATGACAGAGCACACACTTTGCATACAGAAGGTAAAGGAGTCCCTGCGGATTTTACTTTGCTAGTCCTTGCCAACTCTAGGGGGCGGTACTCATCTCTGTTTCAAGGCCATTGAGCCAGTGCTGTACGAAGACATTTCTATGGTCATGTGGCCAGCATGATGTCACAGAGTGCTGTTTCCTCCCCACCGAAGTGGTACCTATTTATCTATGTGCGTTTGCATGCTTTCAAATTACTAGGTTGGCAGGAACTGGGGCAAGAACGGGAGCTCACCCCATCACGGGGCGCTCAGGTCTCAAACCTGGTCTGCCAGCTTTCCAGCCGATAAACCCAGTGGCTTAACCACTGAGCTACTGTGTCACAACAATGCTTACAGAAAATTCCAACCTTAACCCTAAGTCTCCAAGTAAGCCTGAGCTTCTGCCAGTGAGTGTAAACTAGGTGTGTCTGATGTGGTGCCTTCTTGATGCACTGGGGCTACAATTCCCAGCTGGTGTGGCTACTCATTCTGGAAGCTGTAGTACCATCATATCTGAAGGGGAAAACAGTTGACATTTGAGCGTTTGTAAACCTGAAATTGAAAGCTGAAAACACTCCAAATTCTCAGCCATAATTACACTGGATAAGGAATTCTGGGCATTGAAGTCCATGCATCATTTAAATTGCCCAACTGTGAAAACTCTGAGCTAAATGGAACAATGCGATGACTAAGGGGAGATGTATGAAGTGATAAATAATATTAATAACCTAAATCAGAACTTTGCAAAATAATTAATATTCCCAGAAGCTTCTCTTCCTGAGGGAGATCTCCTTCTGATACACTTGGAATTCTGAAATTTGTTGTGACAAAATGGCTGCCACAACATGAGAGGCTACTCACCAGGCGCTCTTTTTCCAGAAGGCAAATTGATGAGGTTTCTCCCCACTGAACTTGTAGGTGGAAGGGGGCATGGAACAGCTGAGTAAGTACAGATAGTTTCTCCTATTCCCCCTCCCCTGAGACCTTTGCAGAAGCCACAGTGGCTCCAGTCTCAGAAGGTTCCAGAGGAACATCCACAGTGGCACACTTGCTTTCAGGCCTTTTCTTCTCTGCTTGCTGCAAGCGAGAGAGGAGTCATGGTGGTTACTAGCATCCCCCTCCCAGCTGCCATTAGTTACCACTCTGCACAGTGTTGTGCCCAACAGACTTGTCACATTAAATATTAACTGGGCAAAGAAGGAGTCGGCACTCCCCTCCCCTGTCTATCTGGGCAAAGGGAGAGATTGGGAGCGAAGATAAGAACAGCCGAGCGGGAGATGAATGGTGTAAGCTGGAAAGGGGGTGTGAAGTCCAGACATTGGGCTGGCAGAGGCTGAAGCGGAGGGTCATGGATACAGTTGGCAGAAGGTTCAGACTAAGAGGTGAATGACATGGAGAACATCTCTTTGGTTTTGAACCTGAAGCTGACTGAGGCAGTCTGGAGGTTCTGCCAAAGCATTCCAGGGTGGCCGTAGCACCTCCTCTCCCTCAGCTGCTGCCAGTTATGTCTCAGGAGACATGGCCCACTGGCTCATCGGCCCCCACTCCTGATCTGCTTGGCAGGCCTTCTTTTCTTCCTCCCTCCTCTGCTGCCTCTCTGTTGGCCATTGAGCTTGTTCTTTCCTGCAGTGGTCTCAGCAGCCAGAGACCACACCCCATGTGTATGGCACATCCCAATGGATTACTCCCCTCTCCATCTCCTCAGTGTCCTGTCTCTGCTCAGCCATGACCACCGATATGTGTAGATCTCCTCAGGCTTGGATTTTTTTCCCCACAGAACTCTGCCCAGACCAAGTACTTCTTTGTCAACATCTAGATTGTAACTCCCATTTCATTTATGGCACCCGGTCCCTCAGAAACGTGCCGACAAACTGTTCTCGCACCGTCCCTAATTCAGAGCTTGCAGAGTTAAAATACAATTTCCTTCTCCCAGAATCATTTTGCCCTGAACTCAGCATTTTCTAACCTGATTTTGCAGCTTTTGAAGTGTGTATGCATGGAGGCTGAGAGAGGGGATGCAAAATAGGTACAGAGTAGAATAGCCGTTTGGAAGAAGAGAGAGTGATGTGTTGGATCTGTCGGTACCGAGGAGGAAAAAGGAATGTGAGCTAAAACTGGCGCAAAAATTATCCACACAGTTTTCAAACTCAGGATTCAGCGTGCACCCAAGTCTTGGATTTCCAAAGCTTCTTTTGGATGATAGATTCCATCACTGAAGCATATGAACCTATTTAGTGTCTATTAACATGAGCAGATGTATTTTCCCATCATTACTGTTCAGTTGTTTGCAGTCAAGGGTGTCTTAGAAAGCTCTTCAGCTTAATCAGATCAGCTTATCACAAGGCAAATATGAACTCCAGTATCTCTCATTATAAAAATTAAATGCTGGCTTAGGCAAGTATGCGTCTGGGTTTTTTTATATACATAGCTTCTTTGACAGTCCAGATTTTAACAATTAATCTCTTAGCTTTTCATTCTGCTCAGATTGATCTCTAAGGAGGAGGACCAAGGTGCATTTTTTGGCTGCTTGATTGAACTGGTTTGGGGGGGGGGAAAGCAACCCAATTCCCATCCCTTCTACCCCCTTCATCCCAGCTGTGGATTCAGTTTTGAAAGTGGGGGGGGAGGGAGAGTTTTCCTGGAGGCTGTGGCATCTGGTCACATGGAATTAAGTTACAGTTTGCTTATATGTGTATTGGGGGTGGAGGAGAAATGCTGTTTAAACTTTTGAACCTCTAGCAGGGAGCATGAGGGGAGGTCATGACCCCCTTCTGTTCCTCATGCAAATGGTAGAGATTCAATTAGGATGGCAGGAGGCCGGGTGGTAGCCTGCCCGTGTGTCTTTGCCATTCCCAGAGCTCCCTCAGTTGTCTTCAGTACACTAATTGCCTTGTTGCTGCCTAGCCTGGAGCCTTATGCTGGAGGTGACCTGCCTGTTCCCTCAATCAAATCTGAAAAGGACTATTATCTTACTCCTTGGGGTGGGGACAGGGGGAGCTGAATCCAAATTCCCAGCTCCATAACTGTACTGACCCAGAGGTCTTGTCCTTATATGTGTGGGAGGCTCAATGGAGCTTTGTTGGTCAGGATGAAAGACCCTTTGAGCTTTCTCTTCCAGGCCAGTATGTGTCTCCTTCCCATTGTGAGAACTATCACCTTCAAATGCAGACGAGGCAGATATATCTATTTTTTACCTTAATTGATGGAGATACCATGCAATGTAGGATCGGTGTAGAAAGTAGCCCCATCCTATCACCTACCTCCTCTGTAAAAGGAGCTACGTTCTCCCCAGACTTGCTTATTTATTGGTTCGATTTATTTATTTATTGGTTCGATTTATATGCCGCCCTTTTCCGGAGACTCAGGACGGCTTACAATGCATTAAGCAATAGCCTTCATACTTTTGTATATACCTGCTTAGTAGGGCTTTCGGCCCATCCCTAAGCGGTGATCTTTTTATACAAAGTCAGCTTATTGTCCCCACAAACCGGGTCCTCATTTTACCTACCTCAAAAGGATGGAAGGCTGAGTCAACCTTGAGCTTGGTGAGATTTGAATTTGCAGTAATTGCAGGCAGTGGTGTTACTTAACAGTGCTTTAGTCTGCTGCACCACCAAGGCTCTTTTCTCTTATATTGACTTACCTGAAAAGGTTATGGATAAATACTGAAGTTTTATCAAAATGGAGTCCTAGCCTAGAGCGCCACTTCCTGCAACTGCAAGGAGAAAGGAATGCAACATTATGAAAAGAACCAGGCAGAATTGCAGAGCATGTTAATATGTTAATAGCAATAGCACTTAGACTTATATACCGCTTCATAGTGCTTTACAGCCCTCTCTAAGCGGTTTATAGAGTCAGCATATTTCCCCTAACAATCTGGGTCCTCATTTTTACTGACCTCAGAAGGATGGAAAGGTGAGTCAACCTTGAGCCTGGTGAGATTTGATCTGCCAAACATCTGGCAGCTGGTGATCAGCAGACATAGCCTGCAGTACTGTACTCTAACCACTGCACCACCGCGACTCATGTTAAATTAGAAGTACAGGTGCCAATTTGGAAATATGTAATGTGGACGTCTATTACACTTTAGTCTGATGTCCAAAAGCTGACCTCAGATGGACAACTTCAAGTTCCCACCCTGTATTCTAAGTTCTTTGTCTTTAAATTTAATTTGCATATGGCAGCCCTTCAAAAACTGAACTGCCCTGGGTAAAGTAGAATAATATAATAGATAGTCCAAACCTAGGCTAAAAGGATTGAATTCTTAGTTTCTTTCAGCGTTCCCCTCCCCCATTGTCTGTGAGTTAATTTTTGGGAGATTACCTACATGTCAGGAATCACAACTTCTCTTTCTTGTCTAGCCTTAGTTAATCTAGTGCCCTCTATACATGTTGAGGTTACAACTTCTAGATTTCTCAGACAGTATGCCTATCTTCACCACTGGCATTGCCTCCTGGGTGGCTGGGAGGTCTGCTGTGCTCCTTACACCTCTGAAGAACTAAAGATTATTTTTTAATAGAACAAAGCTTAGGAAAAAATGATGCTCTCCTCTCTTCTCCTCTCCTCTCCTCTCCTCTCCCCTCCCCTCCCCTCCCCTCCCCTCTCCTTCTCTTCCCTTTCCCAGCCATGAAAACTGGACTTTTTTGATGCCGAAGAATCATGTAATTTATACTACCTTAATTTATTGGGAAGCTTTTTTACTGTTTAAGCCTTTCCCAGTTAAATTACTCTTTTCCTTTGTTGGAAGTGGTACCCTCCAGATGTCTTGAGATACAGCCGATTGGAGCTATTACTCAACACATCTGCAACATCACATTGTGGAAGGCTTTATTAACGTCCATCAAGTTTTATTCCCATTTATCAGGAGCTGGATCTGTGCATTTGATGTGTGTGTTAGGCACATCTGGGCACACAGCGCCACAGAATAACTACTCTTCCCTCCAGTAATAGTTTCTCCAGCTCATCAACATGTCTGAATCGGATTAAGTTGCAGCTGTTCTGTAATATACGAAATCTTGGCTCTACTGCATGACTGCACTTTTTTATTAAGTTTGAGAGAAAGGAAGCTATTATGTTCCATTTGCTAACACCCTGGTTCAGAAGACATTCCAGGCCTGGTTATTTATTAGGGTTGGTCATCCCTTTAGATTCAAAGGGAGAAACGTGATTTGGAGCACATTAGAGACAACATTGTTTAGAATGTCTTAGACCAAATGGATATTTTCCCAGGATTGTTTGACAGTTGTGGAGGTAGGAGTCCAGAAAAAGATGTAGTTGCTTTAAGGTATCTCCAATAGGTACTATGTCTGGAATGTCTATAGCTGTACTACTGACACACATTTTAAAATAATATAAATAGAACAGACAAGTAAAGAGATAAAACACATCAATATAAACTTTTATGAGTAACTCCCCAAGCAGATACCAAAGTTACGCTTTTTTTGGTTTTATAGTTGAGATGTTCACCAACTGCAGCCCAGTTATTCTCTAAGCATGTTGTGTTTTCAGTGCAACTTTTCTTAGGAGCAAATGAATTAACAAAATTGGAGTAGCACAATAATCAGTTCTTTTGTACATTGAATCTAATCATAAGGATAAAATTATTTGTGCATTTTCAAGCTTGTCAGTTTCATACGTGTCCATTCTTTCCTGAAAAATTAATGCAAGTTAGGAGTACATGAAATGCATTTCGATTGTTTCTCTAACAACTTGCCATTTATTAACACATGGGGTTTTGTTTAGGAGGCAGTGAAAATTTGGAGATGTTTTCAATCCATTTGTAGTCCAGCTGATTTCATTAAAAATGCAGGTAGTCCTCAATTTATGACCACAATTAACCCCATTTCTGCTGCTAAGTGAGACAATTGTTAAGTGAGTTTTGCCCCATTTTACATCCTTTCCTGCCACAGTTAAGTGAATTACCGCAGTTGTTAACTTAGTAACACGACTATTAAGTGAATCTAACTATACCATTGACATTGCTTGTTAGAAAGTTGCAAAAAGTGATCACATGGCACCAGGACATTGCAACCATCATAAATATGATCCAGTTGCCAAACATCTGAATTTTGATCACATGACCATGGGCATGCTGCAACTGTCGTTAAGTGTGAAAAACTTTTTTTCCAGTGCCGTTGTAACTTTTGAATGATCACTTGTAAGTCAAGGACTATCTGTATAACTTCTCTGTCATCCAAGGTTAAGGCAAAATTCTGAAATCGTACATGGGGAAATTGGACAGATTAAGGAAGGCATTGAGGATTGAGCAACTGAGTCTGCTATTAGAGAACAAATGAGTATAATATGCTGCACTGATAAAAGCACTTCTTCTGCCTAGTATAATTTAGGAAGATGAGTGGGATGGGAGATTAAATAATGATCATTAGTGCGAGAATAAGGTATCCCAAGGACAAAAGTGGTTCTCATAGCTATTTTATGCAATATGGGAGGGGACGACAGTAGCTGCGAGAGAATCCTCTCATTCCTCCACTGTTTCAAATTTCCCTTTGTAGGGCTGGGTAAAAAGCAAGATATTTTGCTTTGTAATGTATTACGAAGCTTTAAAAATATTGTTCGGTGAAATGAGGTATTCTCTTACTGAACCCAAAACAAAATCAGATAGCTAAGAAATAAAAAAGCTAAAATTGGAGTTTATTAAGGCCCATGAATGGTTCCAGGAGCTTGAAAGAAGAGTATTGGGTTGCCAGATGGTATCTGAGCTCTCAGCTTCTTGAGAGAGCCAGTGGAATATAGTGGCTAAGGTGCCAGGCTAGAAACCAGGAGGTTAAGGCGCCAGGCTAGAAACCAGGAGGTTGTGAGTTCTAGTCCTGCTTTGGGCATAAAGCCAGCTGGGTAATCTCGGACCAGTCTCTCTTTCTCAGCCTTAGGAAGCAGGCAGTTACAAACCATCTCTGAAAAACATTTGCAAGAAAATGCATGGATTGTCCATGCAATTGCCAAGAGTCAGGATTGACCTGAAGGCACAAAAAGCAAATAAACAGAACTGTTTCCTGGAGTCCCACTGTCACATTCTGGGGCCATTTTGAAAAGTATCTGCTAAGCTCCATCTGAATTCTATGCAAAACGGGAAGAGGCTTTTGGGAATTTGCCAACTCTTACAAGCATTTAGCTTCCCCTTTGTGATATATAGCTAGGGACTGGAAGATAACTTTTTTTTTTTTTTTTTACAAACAATGGTGTAAACCTGAACTAACCTGTGTTTTTTCCCTAGCTTTGGTTTAAACAATTAAACAGCCCTTTATCCAGGGTTACCGTTTTACAGGAAATGTGCGAAGAATGGATGGGGCCCCAATTGTTGTATTTCTGAAAATACTGGGATAGTATACTTCAATGTCAGAAATCAATCTTTTGGATCTCTTGAATTTACCAGTAACTGCTAGAAATTCAGATTGTGTAAGCCTTGGAAAGAATTGATGTTTAATAAAAAGCAGCCTGTTTTTCACTTGCCATGGAGCTACTTCCTCTCCAGAACTGGCACAATGTAAAAAAATGTGGGAGTATTAATCACCCCCTGTTGTCACACAGAAGTCACTTTGGTTAACTTCTGCAATTCTGTTGGTATCTAAATGTTTTGCTTATTTTTAATTTGCCAAGCCAAGCAGCGTGCAAAGAGCAAGACTGCTGGACTGAATTAAATCACACTAAAACAAACCAGAGAGAGAGATAATTTCACTCGGTGCCTGTCACTTCTCCTGCTCCTCCCATGTGCAACCATGCTGTTTCCCAAATGTCTAAAAAACACCATGGCGGGGCTCTTTAGAATAGCAATTTCAACTTTAAGTGTCTTGCCCTTCCTCAAAATTGCTTTTCATCACCTCATAATGCCAACCCAAATGGCGGACGCTCATTTTTTCCAATTGTTCATCTGCTATTTATCAACGGCCTCCTTCCTTATGAATGCCACATGTTGTAGGGATGATTCAAACACCTGTCAGCTCAGCTTCCATAGGATCAAACTTCAACCCTTCCCCCCCCAAAAAAAAGAATAGAAAAAGAAAATTTGTCATGATAGCATGTATAGTTTATTAAATAAAAATAAATAAAAGCAACAACATTCATTTATTTAAATAATCAAAAGTCAATTAAAAATATGTTTAAAAATTCCAGATTGGTTATCTCACATAAACTCAATATATCTTAGAGCTGTTATAAAGAAATGCTATCCTGTTTCTATGAACAGTAAGGTTTGAGATTAGGGCTCCCAATTGCATTGATAGTTCATGCAATCCTTGAATTAGGAGGAGCACACAAATGCACAACTTTAACTTTTTTAAAAAGTGTGGTGGCGGGTGATGACAATCTTGGCTGCTTGCATGTTTTTCAAATGGGAAAGCTGTTAAATGCACGATGGTTGTAACTCACACAGCAAAAAAGTGGAGTGTACGTTGTGATCTTATAAAACAGGTCATATATAAAAGCTTGGAGATAACTATATTGTCAAGGAGTGCAGCATACACATTTTAACTTGGATTTGTAACTTGTAAGTTTGTTTTGCTTATTTATAAAGTGTTTTTAAAATAAGAAATTTTATTTTAATTGGCTGTTGGTGTCCTTGGATCGTACAATTTGAGTCCATAGCTTCACAGAGGAAGCCACCACACATCCCACAATTGGCATCATATGCAATTTGTTTCATTATCTCATCATTATTATTTTAGTAAAGTTTCTAACTCCTGGGGCTAGCTATATTGAAATGTTTTGTGTTTGTGACAACTTTGTGAGGTAAATCATTGTTCTCATTTTAAGATGTGTAAAAATATAACATTATGGAATCTATTTGTAAAGTGCAATTAAACAAAATGAAGAGTAAGCTGCTTTAGGTTTTAAATTTGATCCATTGAATCTATTTTTCCTATATGACATGCATGGAGAAACTACGACCATCCAGAAGTTTTCAGAAATTATCAAAATTGTAAAATTATAAGTCTCGCTGATGGAATAATGGAATTTGGGAGTCCAAAAATACCCCAATTATGTACTTGCTGAATCAGTCCTTTAAAAAATTTCTACTGACATACTACACACACACACACACACAGAGAGAGAGAGAGAGAGAGAGAGAGAGAGAGAGAGAGAGAGATTTCATTTTCAATAATCCCTCCCCTCAGATACAGGATTTTTCATGAGGAATAGCCCTGACTCATTCTTTTCTTAAAGGTCTAGACTATATTATTTTCCATTTGTAATCCTGTATTTTGCCAATATTTCATCTTTTTTCTTTCTTGCCAAGAAAACGTTAGAAAGAAAAAAGACAAAAATAACTGCATTATCTTTTGAAGAGTGGCTTTAGGAGCCATCTTGTCAAGAGACCCTCTATTTCTGGTAAGGATGGGGGAAAACCCTATCCTGCTCTCCATCCTTCCAATTTGGAGAGGGAGAAAGAGCTGCTTTTGTCATTATACCCTACAGGTTCGTGTGGACAATCCGGATGAGGCCCATCTTTATGAGTCTGTGCCAGTGATGCCTGGAGAACCTATACTGCGTGACATGGTCCTGAGTCCTGACCAGCGCTACCTCTATTTGCTCAGCCAGAGACAGGTCAGCCTAAGGGAGATGGGACAGGCAGCAGCTTCTGTTGTATCTTAGCTAGGAAGGAGAAGAATAAGCCACTGGTGGGAAATTGATTGATGACAGGTCGTCCTGAAAAAAGTCTATCTATGTGGTCACTAAGAATAGACCTAACTTGATGGCACTTAATCAGGAATTTTGACTCTCCATGTATGCAGTATTGAATTTCAACTCCCATCAAACTCCACCCGTGTGGCATCTGGCAGGGAGAGGGAATTGTAATTCAGACAAACTAGTAACAACTGGTTTACCTGTTCTGGGGGAAAGGGCTTTTGTTTTTGTTCATTGATTGATTGATTGACTGATTGATTGTTGGCTGCCTGGCTAGCTGCCAGGTTTTATTCCAGGAGCAGAAGATAAAGAAGGCTTGCAAAGAAATTATTTACTTTAGAGTTTCCTGAATGCCTTTTTGCATGGAAAGGCGGGTTTTAAATCTTATCACTAATGATGTTGTCTAATAATAATGATATTATCAATATTATTGTTAGACAACATCATTAGTGGTAGGATTTTTGGATATCTGTTTATGTGTTTTATATTTTTAGAAAATCCATATCTCTGTAAATAATGGCATTTTTAAAGTTATTTATTGCTCCCTTTTAAATTTTTTCCCCCCTCTTTCAGCAGATTTATACTTACCTTAGGAGAGTTAAAGCTTAATTTCAGTACCTTTTTTTAATTTTTTAATAGCTGCATTGCAACCCAAATGAGTTTAAGCTTTAGGGAAGTGTGTGCTTTACATCAGCAAAAGAAATTGGGGCAAGATAACTGTGCATACATTTCAATGTGTTTAAAATGTGAAAATGAAGAGTGACTGTGAAGATTATTTCATTTTTCTAAGTGGAGTGGGAAAATCCTTTCCACACTGCTATGGCCAATTAAGGTCGAGAGCATAAGATAAAGTGCCCTGGGCAGGACTGAATACACCAATGAGGTCTCTTCTCAATAGACAAGATGCCTACAAATGTAAGGAGTGAGGGATGCCATGAATGTTGTATTTTCTTTACCGTGAATGAATTATTCAAATAGCAAAATGCAAAGAATGTATAAAACGCAGATGCTGAATTTGAAGGAAGGAGGTTGAGGGAGATAGGCAAATGTGAGACCGAGGGCTGCTGGGTATATGTGTATTTGCTACCTATTTTCCTAGAATAATCAGATCTGAGCTGTGAAAATCTGGAGAAGTACTCAGTGGCAGCAAAAGGGAGATGGGGATACAGAAACCCCCTTACTCTTTCCTGCCACATTTTTACAATTGTTCAAAGTTTCTGGTGGTCCTGCTCTTGCCTCAGGCAGGACTCACTTTTTCACACCTGAAGCCCAGGCAAGAATTCAACAAGTGCCTTTCTGTATAGCAGAACCCTGTTTCTGTTTCCTTCATTTTGACTCTTTATGTTGGGGAAGTAATCCCTAGGCCGATATACCTGGAGGGTGCCAGCCAGGCTAGCAAAGACTGTGGGGAAACTCCAAAGCGGATGAATGAACAGTGGGGGGGAAAGGTCTGCAGATGTATATTGATACAGCTCTTCCCTCAGGTGGTGCAGCTTCCTGTGGAGAATTGTGGGCAATATCTTTCCTGTGCCGATTGCTTGGGCTCCCGAGACCCACACTGTGGCTGGTGTGTCCTGCACAATAGGTGAGAGATCATCCTCCTTTCTACCTTCAACTATGCAAGCTGGGAGGAAGAACCCTTGATCTGCCATTCCTATCCCCCCATCCCCCCCTCATTCTTCTTGTGCTTTCACCCAAGTCTGGGGGCAAAGCAAGGAGGAGACAGCCAGTTGCACTCATTCCTCTCCCCTGCCCCTTTTATCTGAACTCTGCAGGAGCTTTAATCCTATTAAAGCTGCCAGCACTCAGCTGACTAGGCGGGAAGAGTAAGAGGAGGTTGGAGGTGCAGGCAAGGGGGCCGAAGCAGCTCTCCTTCCCCAACTTTGGAAAGGGAAGGAGGATTTTCTCTTTGCTTCTGCTCCCCCTCCTCCCCCCCCCACCAATCCTTTGCTGGATATGGCATTGCAAAGGATGAGGAAGGTGTGCTCCCTTCCAAAGGAAAGTTGGTCCTTGCTTCCCGCATCAATGTTGGGGTCCTACCCAGGGGTAAAATTCAATTTTTTTTACTACTGGTTCTGTGGGTGTGGCTTGGTGGGCGTGGCAGGAAAAGCATACTGCAAAATCCCCATTCCCTCCCCACTCCTGGGGGAAGGATATTGCAAAATCCTCATTCCCTCCCCACTCTGGGGCCAGCCAGAGGTGGTATTTGCTGGTTCTCCAAACTACTCAAAATTTCCGCTACCGGTTCTGCAGAACTTGTTAGAACCTGCTGGATTTCACCCCTGGTCCCACCTCATGGAAGGGACAGTGCATAGCATGGGTTGGGAGGGAGAAGCAAGAGGCAAGAGAATAAGAAGCAACCTTTTCCCCTGCCCTGCAGAAGCCCCCACTCTGTCTTTCTCCCAGCAGATGTTTTTCTCCCTTCTTCCCACCCTCCATCTCCTCTCCCTGTCTCAGCACCTGGTGCTGCAGCTTGCACCTCCTTCCTTAATATAGACTATGTGATAACACTTAGAAGGGGGGGCTGAAAGCAGAGGTGACACTTCTCCCCCCCAAGCAATGGTGCAGTCGGGAGAAGGAGCAGGAAGCGTGCAAAAAAGTGAGAAGTGCTTATACCTCCCATCCTCAGCCGAAGCGTTTCCACTTTGTTTGCAAACCGTGGACTTTCACCATCCTTTCCTATCCCCAAGCCCAGGTCTCATTCCATCCAGGATGATCTCTCTGATATTGTCCCTTTATTGGGATGGGCAATATCCCAATATTAAGATTAAGATTACTTGCGTGCTGCCCTTCCCCACTCCACCCTGCTTGCGAATGTATGGTTGCTGTCATCGTTTCTCCAGGCAGGCGCCTCAGTCCCCAGATCCCTAAGCATCCTTGGTTCCTTCTAATGTTAACAAGCCTCCAGGGCCCCTGAGCGGAAGCAGCAGGTCTGCATTACAGTCCCCAAACTGACTTCCTCCCTCATCCCCTGGTGGGTGCACTCTCACATGCTTAAATTACCGAGCCTTGCTTTTATTGCCCCCTCCCTTTTGATCTCAGTTCTGTCAACTTTCCCACATAAGATGTCTTTCCTATGCCTGGATTTAGTTATGAGTTGGGCTGCCGGTATGGCAATTATGCCTCTGTCCCCCCTGTCCCGCCCCCCAGTAGAGATCTCCGATACACATTCTGTCTCATGGTCCCTGCCTCTGACTGACCTCAACTCACAGGAGCTTTTGCGCCCCACTAAAGAAGAAGGAGAAGCTGTTAAGAGGAACAGAGGAAGGTGTAAGGTTGTGCAGACTTCTCTCATTTTGCTCCCTACCCCTTTTGGTTTCTGTGCCCTCAGGTGCTGTAGAGAAAGCGAGTGCCCCCGTGCTGCAGAACCCCACCGCTTTACAGCCACTCTGACACAATGTGTGCAGTTGCTGGTTGAGCCCAGTAATATCTCAGTGACAGAACCTAGCATTGTGGTGAGTCTCTGCTCCCTCCTGCTGGCCTTTTTGAACATCTGGCTCCCCCAATCCTGCTGGCTAAGTGTTCTTTATCTCCTTTTTGTTTTCTCTCTCTGTTATTGGTCTCTTTGTCTTCTGTGTTTTTGATCAATTGAGCCTCAACATTCTGAGGCCAGCTACCACTGTGGAAGTGGAAATTTGACCCCACACCAATCTATAAACAAAATAGACTGTGAGTATTAGGAGAGGGAACGCTAGGTACTTTTTTAAAGTGAATTTTGGAAGACAATGACCTCTAGCCGTAATCCATATCAGCAAGTTACTAAAGAAATAACTTTTTTTTTTTTTGCTGCTGACATACACATCCCGTAAGAAAGTCAATCATTCAGTGTGAATATAGAATTTTACAGTTATTTTCGAACTGAATTGAGATACCATTATATCTCTTGGCTCTCTTTTTTAATTGGATATATTCAAATTAGTAAATTATTATGGAAGACTGTCAACATTATATTCTGTGGACTCATGGACTATGGGGTTATATTTCAAAGATGCCATGAAAAATGACTCATTAACTTTAGAGGATCTTTGATTAGTGATAAGATTTCTTATGTCTTGCAAACTACCTTGAGTATAGAATCCTTTGGGAAACAAGAGTAATTGGTTTAGTGCTCTAAATTGTATTTATGTAGGTAATTACTGCTCTTCTTCAAGGTCATCCCCAGCCTTCATATTAGCTACTAAAAGCATAGCAGAGGATAGCTTTGATCCATAATCTATACCTCTGCTATGTCCATGGTAGGGATAGAGACTCCATGGCCCTCTAATTTAGGGGAGAAAAACATGTGGCCTTCCAGCTATTGTTGGACTGCAACTAATCACCTCTCATTATTAACTATGCTAGCTGGGACTGATAAGAATTGACATATAGCAATACAGGAGGGCTGCCTGTCTATCACTGCTCTAGATGTTGCTGAACAATAATTCCCAAGGGCCCTCGCCACATGCAGCCATTGGTGAGGGATGCTGGGTTTTGCAACTCAGAGCATCTGAAAGGTCACAAGATCCTCCCTAGGCAAACAGAACCATAATGATGAGTAAGCTGCGCCCGAATAATATGATAGTCACCATACCATTCAGCTTTGTAAAAATAACCGTTTTCCTTCACTTTGTGTGTGTGTGTGTGTTTTTTTTTTAAGTAACTGTTCAGCTTTATGATTGCCAAGATATGCTTGGATAATGCCTGGTAGGAATTCAGAAGCCAGATAAACTGCTGAGTAAAATTTCCAGTGGTCAAATTTCAGTGTTCTGCAGGGTTTTTTGTTTCCCATTCATCAACCATGGCTATTGCAAAATAGGGAAAATGCAGACTAAATCGGATTAACCATGATCATTTTATCCGTGTCACTGCATTTAGGCTACTGTATGTCATAAAACTTGAGAAGTGTCTTATATTTATGTGTACATAGCACACATTATGATTTCCCTTCTTTTGACATAATTCTCAAACATACTAGTCCATCTAATGACATCATTCTTCTGTGCTATGTTTCCAGCTTCAGCTTACAGTCCACAATGTCCCAGACCTTAGTTCTGGTGTGACTTGCTCCTTTGAGGGCCTTGGTGAGAGCGAGGGACAGCTTCAGGTAGATGGAGGGATCCACTGCCTTTCACCCACTTTGAGGGATGAGCCCCCTGGAGAATATGGTAAGTGCTTGATGATGGGAAGGGAAGTAGTGGTGTAGTACTCAGATGGAACAGAGCTAGAAAGCAAGATATAGTCCACCTTTCTTCCCTTCCCTTGCCTCTGACAGAAACTTCTTGATGGCTTCAAAGAAATTCTCCTTAGCCCTGATCCTCTCCTCATAACAAGCCTAAAGTTGTATGCAATTTTTTTTTTACAAAAAAGCAGATGACAATGCTCAAGATGGAATTAGAATTATAAGTCAAATGATGTTTTGTCAGAGATTTTGGCCTTCTGCTTTTTGCCTTCCTGCTTTTCATGCTGCTCCCACAGTCATTAAGCAGACTGGTTGCCGCTCTATGATGCTGAGTTTTTGCATGGCTATAACTGACATGTTGAAACCGTGGTAAATAAATGCTTCTCTCTCTTCTGCAAAACTATGCTGATGGGGGGAGTCATGTAATTCTAATTTTGCTTAATGATTCTGAATGTGGAAGCAGAAGTTGATTGTGTCAGAATTCAAGAATGTGACCTTGTAAACACACCATGATTGATGTTACTTGCTCTTCCTTCTTCCTGTTTCCCTATAACTGCCTCAGGTGATGTACGAACTGTTAGGATCCAACTTCTGTCCAAGGAAACTGGCATGGAATTTGCCAGTACAAACTTTGTCTTTTATGATTGCAGCCTTCTACGCACGTGAGTTTTGAAACTGGGCACAGGCTGTTAATGGGGAAGTGGGGGGGATGACTTTCTTTTTCGATCCCCAACAGTTTATTTATACATAAGACATGTGACCCACACATCATTGTTTACAACTGTTGCAAAATAAGATTTAATCTCAGCTTCCAACAACTGTTAACTACTTTCAAAAATATATATTTTCATCTTTACACTTTGCTTATAGTTAAAACATACACACTTGGTTTATTTAGTGATTTACTGTCATGTTTTTTCCTCCATTAAAAAATAACCCCTAATCAGGATTTCATTAATTCAAAACAAACAGCATACAATTGACAGTTAATTAAATTTCATTCTAGCAAAAATGAGAAATCTGTCAAAATCCCTATAAAAGATCATATTAAAAATTGATGGCCACTCACACACCCTCCCCTATCCGGCAGCAGCCACTTATCTGCCTACTGGCCTGCTTGGGAGCTGCCTGGGTCTCGTGACTTCCTACTGGCTTACTCATTTTGCTTGTTGGAAGTACCAAGGAGATCCTTACTCCTTGGTACTCACAACCCACAATCCTTGCTTAATGACAGCAAGGGAGAGTGCCGGGATAGCTCTCGCTAAGTGATGCAAGTCATTTGAAACTACACTTTACAACCACATCACTTAGCAATGGAGATTCTGACCCCAGTTTCCATTGTATCATGAGGACTACCTGCTCTTCATTAGCATGAAAGACATTTCCAAGCTATATGAGGAAGACAGATCTTATCCCTAAGGTAAGAGATGGAGCAGCTTAAGAGGATAGGTTTCATCTGAGATAGAAACAGTGACACATTCACACTCTGTTGCACTAAAACATGATTTTGTTAATTGCAACTTGAGTGCAACATGCAGTATACTAAGCCATCATTAACCAAACTTCACAATTGCTTAAGGTGATGCGATTATCCAGCCACTGAATGATTTAGGATAGTTAATCTATCCTAATCCCGAATGATTTAGGATAGTTAATCTATCCTAATCCTGAATGATTTAGGATAGTTAATCTACCTGTCTTGTAAATAGATTTTCAGATTATGTGGCATTCTCAGTGTATACTATGTGCATCAGAAGAACCTGATCATCATCAGAAGCAAAGGGGCAAGTTGTTCACCTAGATTTTCAAGTCTGGCATCAGCTGTGATCCCAGGGCAGGTGGCAATGGTGGCAGTTGTCATCCTGGAACCCTACTGACTTTCAGCAGCAAATTGCTGCAGATAATCAGATGTAAGACCCTGGAGTTGAAGTTGGGCACTAGAAAACAGCGAAGTTTCTTGTTGCTGTATTGGCCTCTGTGCTGTACCATGACATCTCTGCCTGAGCTGTGGAATTAGCAGTGGAGAGCTAGTTCTGGGAGATTTTAACCTAATTTGAGTTGGAGATGGCTTGGGAGTTCATTCCACACAACCATGGATCTGACCCAGAATATTCAAGAGTCAGGACCTAATTAATGCAGGTGGCCACATGCTAGGACAGATGAGAATTATTTTCCAGGGAACTAGGAGTTAAAATGGCAGAAGAGAGGCTTAGAATGCCATTTGAGGAAGATGAAGAATGAATCTGATTGCACATGACTAAGAGACCATATTAGGGACTATGTCATAGTAATAAAAAAGAGCCACAAAATATAACTGTTTTTCCACTCGTATTGTGTTCACAAATAGCTGAGCGGTGGCCCTTTTCAGAACGACCTGTTCTCTGCTGGGAAGGGATGATCAAGAAAAACATTTCCAGGGCCACTGGGAGAAATATTTCAGGTATCTGAAAGATAAAATCATTTGTAGTTGGACTCTGACTGTACCTGTCCTATTTGGTTGCTGTAGCAAACCGAATAGTTATAGAACTACAAATAACAGATTCAGTAATTCCTCTATAAAACCGTATCAACAGCTCCTGGGGCAGTCTGAATAAATCCCAGAATAAGCCATTTTAGGTGCTGAGTTAAAGCAGGAAAAACATTCTTTGTTGTGCCTTTTTAATGATGGTTCGAATATTAAGCATCCATTTCAAGTCCTGAAGGACTTGAAGGACTCTACTGCTGATATCATGCTGTCAAATACAGTAAGAGGAGGTAAAATAGGAGGGCTCCTCCTAAAATCAGAGGTGGGTTTCAACCGGTTTGGACCGGTTCAGGCAAACCAGTTGTTAAAATTCTGCCCAGTTCAGCAAACCAGCTAATCCCACCACTGACTGGCCCCCCGCCCCCACCCATTTTTCAGGCCGTTTTCTGGGCCATTTTCTGGGCCATGAAAGAGACTAAGCTAAAGCTGAATTAACCCCTTCCTTCCTTCCTTCCTTCCTTCCTTCCTTCCTTCCTTCCTTCCTTTTTCTGCCATTTTCAGGCCATTTTCAGGGTCATTTTTCACCCGAAAAACAATGGAAAATGGCTGAAAAACAGGCTGAAAAATGAAGGAAGGGAGGGAGGAAGGAAGGAAGGGGTTAATCCAGCTTTATCTTAGACTCTTTCAGAATTGCCTGCACACAAGTATTGTCAATCCTTCTCCTTCTGCTATTTATTTATTATTTTTGGGGTGCAAATGGGCTTTAATTGTAAATTGTTTCTGAGGAGTCAGTGGGATTTATTGCCTCTGCCATCTCAGGTGTGAAATGTTGGCTGTTATGACACAATATATTGCTTTTTAATAAACTCAGCCTCCAATGTCTTACTTTCCTTGGTGATGGGAGCAGAATGCTTTGCTGGTCTCTCCCCATCCTTTCACTGGGGTGGTGGGTGGGATTTGCACAGTGGTGGGATTCAAGTAATTTAACAACCGGTTCTCTGCCCTAATAATTTCTTCCAACAACCAGTTTGCCAAACTGCTCAGAAAATTAACAACCAGTTCTCCCGAAGTAGTGTGAACTGGCTGAATCCCACCACTGGGTTTGCACCAGGAAACTGAGGGTTGGTTAACCCTTTCATTTCTGGAGGTGTTGCGTATAGGCCCAAGGCCTGGGGAAAGGGAGAGTGCTGGGAGGCAGGGCTTGGTGTGATGAGTGATGTTGAGTTGGCTACGCCTACCCAGTCGCATGACCACCCAGCCACTCCCACCCAGCAAATCATTAGGGCAGAGAACCCATTGTTAAATTATTTGAATCCCACCACTGCCTAAAATCCACTCCTACCTCTACAGTTTTAAGCATGTTCAGCTCCAGATTGTTATATGGCTGTATCCCAGGGCCATTTGTTCAGCCTCCCATCTATATGCAGAGTCATCACTGTCTCGAATGAAGCCAATGACTGTTGCTGTTGTGGTTGTTTGCCTTTCTCTTAGATGGTTCCAATAAGTATTGCCTGGAAAAGAGAGGCTGAAACCTCTTGATTTGTAGAGTGCCACATCCTTTCTGTTTAATAACTATATGAAGTCACTGTGTGAATCATTTGTTGACATGGGTCAGTTATCATCAGTGTGTGATGATAACCAGCTGGTTCTCAAGTTTTAGTCAACTAAATGATGCTGTTGAAGATCTTGTCTCGGTGCCCGGAAGCTATTAAGGTCCAGATGGGGAGGAATGGATTTAAGCTTGACCCTAGCAATTCTGAGTGCTAATGGGTTCATGGACCATCCCGGCCTGAAGAGTTCCTATTTTTAACTTTGAAAGGGGTTCACTTCCCCAGTTAGAACTAGTATGCAGTTTGGGGGTTCTCCTGGACTTGCAGATTGAGAAGGAAGATGGCAACTGTAGTCAAGAAGACTTTCACACAGATTCATCTCATCTATTAATTGTACCTATTCTTGGACCTGGAGCACCTTGTCATTGTCACTTGGTCAACTTAGGTGTGGACTTTGCAGTGCCCTGTACATCAGTGGTGGAATTCAAATTTTTAAACTACCGGTTCTGTGGGCATGGCTTGGTGGGCATGATGTGGCTTGGTGGGCGTGGTGTGTCTTGGTGGGCGTGGCAGGGGAAGGATATTGCAAAATCTCCATTCCCACCCCACTCCAGGGGAAGGATATTACAAAATCTCCATTCCCATCCCACTCTGGGGCCAGCCAGAGGTAGTATTTGCCAGTTTTCCGAACTACTCAAAATTTCCGCTACCAGTTCTCCAGAACCTGCTGAATTTCACCCTTGATGTACATGCAACTGACCTTGAAAACCACTTATAACCTTTAGCTGGTGCAGAACATGGTGGAATAAGCAATTATGAGTGTGTCACAGTACATCTGCGTAACAACTTTGCTCTGCATGCTGCACTGATTATTACAGTAGTAGGCTTCCAAGTGCAATTCAAGATGCTAAGTGTCATCTACAAAGTCCTGCATGACAAAGATATTTTTTATTTGAGGGGTTCACTCTCCCATTATTTCTGCCCATCCCATAAGCTCAGACAGAATCAGCATGCTCTGGGTTCCTTCCATTACTCAATGTCATCTGATAGGAAATTTAGATATATATTATATCTGATAGGAAATCTAGGAAATTTGCCTTCTCTGTTGAGCCCATCTTCTGGAACAGAATTCTCTTAGAGTAGTGTTTCCCAGAATTGAAGTCCACATATCTTAACAATGCCAAGGTTGTGAAACCTTGCCCTAGAGATTTGAATAGTCCTGACTCTGCTCTGCTTTATACGTGTTTTGATCTGACGTTTTCCCCTGACTTTCATCTGGGATGGAAAGTGGGCTGCTTCTGTGAAAAATTCTTTAGAGGCATTTAGTGGATATTTGTTCCCCTGGACAGCCATCTTACATTTCTGTCTGACTTGAGGTTTTGCACCACTCAGAGTTGTTGATGAATTGGGAGGCCTTAGACATATAAACAATTAATCAATTAAGTCCTTGCCCCCGGAGATTGCAATCCCATTTATTTCCTTAGGGGAAATTTGGAAGAAGAGGCAAAAGATTTCTAGATTTTAGTCCCACAATAAGTCATCAGTGTTGAAGGCCTGACCCAGTCCTAAAGGTGACTGGACTTGGGAACATTTTTTTTACTAGGACTTGCAACCTAGATGAGTTGGCAAGGCCTTTTTCAAGCCACAGGCCATGACTGCTTGAGCCAGCCTTATGTTCTTATTGGAAACAAGTTCTGATGTATTTGCACCCTTCCAGATTTGCTGCCCTGTGTTTCCCCCTCAGAGCATGCTGTACTTTTCCTTCACTGTTATATAAAGTAGGAAATGCCACACACCCTGTGGACACCTTCCTCTCTCAGTTTTGGGACTCTCCTAGTTTCATGGGGACAGGGATAGAAGTCAGTGGTGGGTTTCAAAATTTTTTACTACTAGTTCTGTGGGTGTGACTTGGTGGGTGTGGCGTGACTTGGTGGGCGTGGCAGGGAAAGGATACTGTAAAATCTCCATTCCCACCCCACTCCAGGGGAAGGATACCGCAAAATCTCCATTTTCTCCCAATCAGCTGGGACTTGGGGGGCAGAGAAGAGATGGGGGCGGGGCCAATCAGAATTTTTACTACCAGTTCTCTGAACTACTCAAAATTTCTGCTACCACTTCTCCAGAACTGGTCAGAACCTGCTGAAACCCACCTCTGAGCTAGTCAGTAGTTTAGGTTTGCCTCCCTCTGGGCCTTGTCTCCACAGTAAGCAGATGGGTTGGACAAGATTTGAAGATCTGATTCAATCAGTGTTTCGCTTCTTCTCTTTCCTTCCCACGAGTTTCATATCCTTAAGCAGAACAAAACCTTCAGAGGAATAAAGGTGAAGGAAACAAGAGGAGAGAGAATTGACATCTGTAGATCAGGACATGCATTCTTTCCCCCTTTCCTGTTTTCTTTTTTTTTTAATTTTCCTCGTTCTACAGGTGCTTGTCCTGTGTCAGCAGCCACTATCCGTGCCACTGGTGTAAATACAGGCATACGTGCACCCACAATGTGGCCAAGTGCTTCTTCCTAGAGGGCCGAGTCAACACTGCTGAGGTAAGAAAGGCCACTGGAGTGCTACCATCTCGAGAGAGTTTCCTGCCAGCCATTAGGATGATTTTTGGACATGAACACCCTGGGCCTTTTCATCTTTTGTTTGTGAAACTTCACCACTGGGGAAATCAATGGCAGTTTTATTCCCGCTGCTGACCTGCAGGGCAGAGGGAGTCGGGAGAGAGATTTCCCCATGTGCTTTGAATCTACTCCTCTTCCCAGCTCAACTTCCTTCCTTGCATTTTCAAGAGCTCCCTGTTTCTGCATAACAGCAGAAATAGCTGTAGTATTTCATAGCCTGCTCTTCCAGCATTGGAGCGAACATTTGGGAGCCAAGATTCCATTTCCATGTTAATGCAAGTTGTGCAACTGCATGCATACATTTAACTGCAATATTTTGACCCTCTGCAGAGCTCAAATTGCTTTGCTGAGAACAGTATAGGGTAAAAAGGGAGAAAAAGCACAAATGGAGGGTTTGACAAGAAATAAGAATCACGAGAAGGGAACATTCAAGATGCAGTATAGCAGTTCTCTCTTTCCTTTAAAACTCTGTCTTCCAACTCTGGCAACATCACAATATCTTTTCATAACAATGAGTTTTAGAAACTTGGTTCCACCAGCAGACTGAAAAGGAAAGGCTTCTGGAAGTCACATATTTAGGTTTACCCTTATGCGTAGCGTCCCCCACAGGCCTTGTATAGAAGGAATCTCAGACCAGGGAATCCCAGGCAATCAGAAAAGAGTCAGCAGGTGGCAGATCAACAGCATGGGGAAATGATAATAGTACTAAAGTGCCTTTATTCGGGTGGGAGGCTGGATCGATATGGGGGAGGCCAGAGTGTTTGCTGGTAATGGGGCCAGTGGCTCGCGATCAATCGTCTGGCCCAGGCAGCGGGATCAATAGACCTAGAGACGCCCGGGGCTCGTTGTGGGTAGGTAATTGATAGCAGCTCCCTTAGAGGGGCCAGCGTTTGCGGTTGGATGTGGTGGTTGGAGTGGGAGGAGGCTGGACAGCAGGCTTTGAGGCTCTGGGAAGTGAAACGTTGCCTGTGACTCTTAGGTTAGGGAGTGCTGGCAAAACTGTTGTGCTCGGGACTTCTAGATCAGCCTGTGTGGACTTTGTTTTCAGTCTAGACTTTAAAGAATGAAAGAGCTAGAAGAGAAAATTGCTTGGCGCTTCCAGGCTCCTCTTCCCACAGGCCGGGCCTTTTGTCTTGACCCCATTGTCTTAAGCTTCCATAGGAAGTTGCACCCGGGGTTTAATTGTTCTCCAGGTCAGGACTACGTTTCCTGTATTGCTTGCCAGCGTCATGGCCACCCTGTGTCTTTGCTAGCCCCGTAAACAGAGCAGCCAGCCCAGCAGGCCTCCCCCGCCCTACCTTTCCTTTGGTACCAAGGAGCAATTAACCAGACTCTGGTTTCCATGGAAACTCTGAGCGCCCAGCAGGCTCTTTCATCTCCATCTCTCTCAGGCGGTCACCACAGGCAAAGGAGGAGCCGGGAGCCAGACTCCTGGGCTTTACCCTTGTTCACTGTGGAGCTGTTGGGATATGAAAGGTTAGGCAGCTGTTTCTCCCTGGGGGAGAAGGAACCTCAGCCCCCAGGAGGGAGCGACTTGTTTCCTATCCCCAAGAATGATTATAGGTGTCTTCACACAGGAACCCAAATGACAGTCCTAAAAAAAAAGAAAAAAAAAGAAAAGAAAAGCAATATCACTTTAGTCAATGTACTTCTGGTAAGCATGGGTAGGATCAGACTGTTTTTTTCTTTTAGAAAAAGTGTTTCGTGTTCCCTTTACGGCTACTTTGAAAGCAGTGCCAGCCTCAGTTTGGGTTTAGAACTGTTTCCCTTTGCAATCCTGCCTTGAGAATATTCCTGTCATAAACAAACAAACACACGCCTGCCTGCAAACAGCACTTGCCAAAGCTTTCAGGTTTCTGAGCACATGGCTTGAATCTTTTCCTTTGCACCAGGGCTGCCCAGAGCTCCTTCCTGGTGGGGAGATCTTGATTCCTGTGGGAGTGTTACAACCCATTACACTGCGTGCCAAGAACCTTCCACAACCTCAGTCGGGCCAGAAGAATTACGAATGTGTCTTGGGAATCCAAGGTCGCCAACAGCGGGTGCCAGCTGTACGCTTCAACTCCAGCAGCGTACAGTGCCAGAATACCTCGGTGAGAATCACATCTTTTATAGCCCTATTTGTATCCCTCTTACTACTATTCTGCAACCAGGAAGACTCAGAACTTCCTGAAAACAGAATACAGCGTCTCAGCTTTCTGCAGCTGCTAACAAATCTTCCTTTTGTTTCAACTTGCCTATGAATTACTAATTTTTTAAACTTTCTTGAACATCTGTGGTGTTACTTGGGTATATTAAGGGCAGCCATCAGAATTTGTAAGCTCATCGTAGTTCATAGTAACACGGTGGTTGCAGTGTTGGATTCAGTTTGAGCCATGGACTTGCTTAGATCTACTAGTTGTTTATGTGTAATAAGGGAATACTGACCTAGATTACAGTTTTTTTGAATGTAAGAATTCATTAAAATATTTGGTACCCTCAGTAGTAAAGTCCTGTATCAGGGGTGGGTTCTAAATTTTTTTACTACCGGTTCTGTGGGTGTGGCTTATTTTGTGGGTGTGGCTTGGAGGTCATGTGACTAGGTGGGCATGGCTAGCTGGTCAGAGTCATTTCTGGAAGGTCCTCGCACTTACGACCAGTCCTCGCACTTACAACCCGACTCATTTGTTTGCTTTTAACACTGATCAGCTGTAGGACGGCCCTTTGAAGCCCCGCAGCTTCAAAGTTTAAACAGAAATTAAACAGAGTTTAAACAGTTTTTTTCCCTCTAGTCATCAGCTGGGACTCAGGAGGCAGCAATAGATTGGGGGTGGGACCAAATAAAAGGTAAGAATAACGTGGGTGGGTGGGAGGGCGGGGGGGGAGAACCGGTTCGGTGACGTCATATCGTCACCGCTACCGGCTCGGCCGAACCGGACCGAACCAGGAGGAACCCACCACTGTCCTGTATGGTTCCATAAATGAGTTACCACATCACTAGATTTAAAGAAGCTGGGGTTTTTTTAACTGAAGTTCCCTGCTTCCCTGACCCTTGCAACTTTTAGTTTGTTTTCTTTATCTACTCATTTTCTAGCCATATTTTCCAGGATAATGTTCCTTTTTCCTAATTGGAAAAACAGAATGCAGAGAGTTGTCAAATCAGTCTGCAGCTCATGCTTATCTACATAAATACCTAGCACCATGTTAAACCTTGGTTGAATGCACTATGTGCTGATGCTGAACGTAACTAAATGCAGACTGGAATTAATTACAATCTAACTCAGAGGTCTTCAAACTTGGCAGCTTTAAGCCTTGTGGACTTCAACTCCTAGAATTCTCTGGCCAGTATAGCATAGCTGGCTGGAGAATTCTGGGAGTTGAAGTCCACAAGGCTTAAAGCTGGCAAGTTTGAAGACTTCTGGTCTAACTGGATCAAAGAGGAAGCCATTTTTTCACCCCAAATGGGAACCTCTATTTTTGTTGCTTGTCAATGTCTCAGAGCTCTTGTTTGTGGATGAGAAAATGGGACTTTTGCCTTGCTAGCTCTTAAGACCACACAAAGGGCATTGGGAGGTCTGCATGTGGCATTACTACTTGTACAAAAATACTGTGGGTGATACTAATGCTCTGTATTGTATTCTTGCTTTATGAGGATAAAGCTTCAGTGGCTATACAGATAGACCTCAACTTACGATCACAGCTGGGACCAGAATTTCTGTTGCTAGGCAAGAGTTGTTAAATGAGTCACGCCCTATTTTTAGGAACTTCTTTGCCATGGTTGTTAAGCAAATCACTGTCGTTGTTAATTTAGTTATGCAGTCATTAAGCGAATCTGGCTTCCCCTGTTGAGTTCGTGGTTGGAAGCCAGCTGGGAAGGTTGCAAATGGCTACCCCATGATCTCAGGACACTGTCCTAAATACATATTGGTTGTCAGGCAACTAAATTTTGGCCAAGTGACTGTGGGGATGCTATGACAGTCATGCAGAAGTGCAAGGACCAATTGTAAGTCACTTTTTTCAGTGCTGTTGTAACTTCACTAAATGAATGGTTGTAAGCTGAGAACTACCTGCAGCTGGAAGTTATTTCCAGTAAAAAGCAGAAGCTGTCAAGTTGCCGGAGGAAATGGCACAAAGTACCATTGTGTTGCAGAAGCATCTGGTTCAACTCTATTGGAACAAAATTTTGAACTAGACGTGCCTTCATCATAACCGTTTTTTTCATTCTCACAACTACCTTAGGACAAGATCATAATGGGGCAAGTTAATTGCATTTGTCAATTTGTTGTTAGCAGTGGTAAAAAAAAAACATTTCGGCATTAAGAAGATTGAAAGGGACAGAAGATTAATAGTACCGCAATAACTGTTGAATTATCCAAATGCTATGTTCTTGTCTTCTCATATCTAGAAGATATTTAGAAATGAAAATTAAATGATAGATGAAATTGAAGTAGACATGAAGCCCTTCAGATTTTATAGCACATGTAATCTCTCATGATTCCCTTTCTGAAGGGCTGCATGTTGCCTATTCTTAAATTAAGGGACCTATTAGTAGGAGAAACTATATATATATATATATATTTAAAATGTCCGTCAACAGAATTTACAGCCTTCCTTTTCTCTCTCATGTAATATTGTGTTTGAGACCAACTAATACAATTGGATGTGGGGGAAAATGGGGAGGGGGGGAGAGAAAAAGTTTTTACCCCTCTCACGTCATGCTAGAATTATGGCCCATCCAATTAAATGGATGGGCATGAGATTTGAGGCATGCTGAAGGACATGCCTCTTTGCCCAGTGTGCGCACTGATGAATTTTATTGCCACAAAATGGTGGTGAAGGCCAATCACTTAGATGGCTTTAAAGCAGATTCAAAAAAGCTTGTGTCTGTGCATTTACCAATGGCCATTAATCATCGTGTTTTCATGGAATTACCCATGTTCAGAGGCTGCATGCTATTGAATATGGGGGCCAGCACAGCACAAGGTTATTTCTCCTCATCCTTGTAGGCGTCAGGCTGGTCCCTGTGAGATTCGAGGTGCTGGAGTAGCAAAGCCTTGATCTGTTCTTTTTGCATATGATTTCAGATGCTAGAGACAAAAAATGAAAGGGAAGTCTCCTTTTGACCTCCATATGAATTCCCAGATACATCCCAGTAGTATGGCAACTTTGAATTTTAGGAGTTGTGGTCTTGTACTTCCATAATTCCCTCCCCCCCCACCCCAATGGCAGAGATCTGATCTAAACAATGATTATTAAAATTAGATTAGCTAGGAGTAAAAAGCCTTGAATCGCCCTGGCCCTGCTCTGTTTTTCATCTTTACTAAAACTGCACTATTGTAATCTGATTCTTCATCAGATTCTTCAGTGAGATTGCCCTCTGCTGTCCAAACCAGTATTACATCCTCTTCTTTTGATTATTAATCTTTCAGATTGTAAATGAGGTTGAAATTATTCAGGTCACAGCCCAAGAGCAACAGGACTAAGAACAGCTCTAAACATTGTTGAGTTTGACATGGTTCTTCTCCATGTTTGTTCCTTCTTCGTGGCATCTAGCCTTCTTGTTTTTTCAGCTGCCAAACATCTTTTGCTATCTACAGCCATCACAAGCACCATATCATATCCTGAAATTCAAAACATAGTAGCTACAGGTAGCTTGCGACCTACAACCAGTCATGATGGTCTCGTGGTGCTTTATAGCCCGTAACGCATTTATGGCTGTAAAATGTTGCACTGCCCACCACTATCACATGAGTGAATTTTGACCACTTGGCAACTGGTTCTATCAGGCATGAAAGATCAGGTCCATACATGACGGTCTAATTAAACTGATTTATTGCTAATCACGCCTATGCACAATATTTTTTTCAACTATTAACACCTGCTTGGGATTAGATAAGAGTCAACAGAATTTAAGGGAGGGTGGACTTAGTTTGCTTGTGGCTACTTAGGAATTCTAGGCTGATCCCTCTTTTAACTCTGCCCTCAGGTTCTGCCACTCCTCCTCTTGCAGGTTCACATTCAAAACTGGTTGCCAAGTTCATTTTGATGGTGTGATCTCCATTTGCAGTCTTCTCCGCTGACTTCCCCAGAAACTCAATGGGGAAGTTGGCGGAGAAAGTTGCAAGTGGAGGGGATGTTGGATTTGAGGTCCATTCCCCCAGGGTACCAAGATATTTCCCCTTCCTCCATGTACACTGGTGAAATCCTTCTGCGTAATGGTGGAACAGACTACAAATCTGGCAAAACCACTACCAAATGCCAGGGTTCCGAGACTTTCAAAACTCAGGCAGTCGCTAGCATTTTCCCATCCAGAGAGGTGGGAGACAATGACGTTCACTAAAATTCTAGCAAATACCAGCATCCTGAGCCTTTTAGAATCCTGGCATTCACTGGCGTTTTAGTGAATGTCATTGTCTCCCACTCCTCTGGATGGGAAAACTAGTGAATGCCAACTTTCTGAGTCTTCCAGAGCAGTGTGTTTGCTAAGCAAGTACTGGAGCCATTAGAGGAATGGACCTCAAATCTGGTGAAAATGCTAGTGCATGCCATTGTTCTCATAATCATTTTCCCCGTTGGGATGGAGAGATAGCTCTGATCTCCAGGGTATGGTGAGAGGCCTGGGCCCTCTCTCTACCCCACCATGCCTAGGAGGCCCAGGCCTTCTCCCCAGCACTCTGCTCAAAACCCATATGGTCGATCAACTCACCACAGCCAATTTGCTGTTGCTAACTAGCTGTGGGACAGCTGGCCATGACCACTTCACCACGGAACAACTTATGCAGAAGAAGAGTTACACTAATATCAAACAAATAGTCAGATAGAATCATTAAAGAAAAGATGCCAAGGGAGAGACAAAATAAAATGTGAATGACAAAAATTAAAATAAATTTTAAATTATTTTAAATAATTAAATTGAACTGTCCCACAGTGAGTTATCCCATGCTGAATTCTCCTGTGGCAATATTGGCTATGATGAGTTGGCCATGGCAAATTGGCCATGGTGAGTTGGTCGCGACGAGTCATCCCATTCTGAATTGAGAGAGCCAGGATTGTGGTTATTAAGTGAAGCCACGCATGTGGTGTCTTGCTTAATGACTGCTTCAGTTAACGACTGAGATTCCAGGCCCAATTGTGGTTGTAAGTGGAGGACTACCTGGACTTCTATATTTACCCATATTGTACAGTTGACTGTTGAAGTTTCCTCCTTGGACTTTATATTATTGCTTCTGCCTGGATGAAGCAGATTGGATTATATTTGACCCAACAATATTCTTTCAAGTTCTAAGACCACTAATTAAGTAGACTAAGGACTCTAATGTTGAAGGTTCCACTTCTTAAATAGCCACCCCACTTAGCCAATAGACCAGCGGCCCCCAACCTTTTGGGCACCAGGGACCGGTTCCATGAAGTTTTTCCACAGATGGGAGGGGGCATAGTTTCGCATGCTGCCTGCATCCCATGGATGAGGCTTCCCTTGTTTGTGCAGCCCGGTTTCTGGCATGCTGAGAGCTGGTGCCAGTCCATGCACCTGGGTTGGGGCCCCTGTGATAGACTAAGAGCTTCACTACTCCACTGACATGAACTAAGGGCTCAAAGAAGACGAGAGCAGTGGTTAGTCAGGCTGTCTATCTTATAATTTTGGGTAAAGCCTGAGCGTATCTGATAGGCAGCTAATTGAGGAAAGTTAGTCTAAGTTTAGCTGGAAAACTCTTGCTTGTGGTCTCCTCTGGGGTGGTATTCCTATTTTGGAACTTCCTTCCAAGGGAAATATGGTTGAGTCTATAATGCCTACGTTTAGAAGAAAGCTTAAGAGATACTTCACCCAAGCGTTTTCAGGAAGCAACTGCCCCACTACCAGATTGTTTCCAAATCAATTGCTGAGCAACATATGTTTTAATTATTAAATTTTTATTTTATATTATTAAATAAATAAAATAAAATGCTATTGATTTTATTGTTTTATTGCAAAGTTTTTTGGGTTTTGTTTTTATTGTAAATGGCATTTTATTATTGAGGGGAATATCTGCATACAAATAAAAAATATTATTAATACAACTTGCAGCTGCTGTACTACTAACAACAACAATAAAGATAATACCGGTAATAATAGAAGAGTTATTGAATATAGAATAGAAGATTAATTCACCATCAGTCAATTGTAAAATGCAGCTTTACTCGGAACATTTTACATTCTGCAACAATACCTCTGCCACCATCTGCCTATCCTGGTGCTTGAGAAAGACTCAATAGGTGGATAAGTATCCCAAATTCAGTCTGAACATGGCTGATTGTGCAACGAACCTCTATAATAGAAGAATTATTTTAGTTCCCTATTCAACTCCTCCTCTGTTTTGCGTGTCTCTGTTACTTGGCAGACTGGACTGAACACATTTTCTACTGGTGTAATGATTTATTCCTGTGATTTGATGGAGGTGATCTTAGGGTTGAGCCATGCTTACCGGATTGACTTTGGGCTTCAAGAGTTCTGTTAGGAATATTGAAGCTAAATTCTGACAAGGCAGGCAGTAATCCTGGACCAGCCATTTGATGTAGTTGCTCATAGATGTCCTTAGCTGCTGATTAGAGCTGGCCAGTTGCTTGGTAAAACCACAGAACTTTTGAGTGAGGAGAAGCGACAAGGCTACCAACTAGAACAGAAAGCAACAAAAAATGATCCTAGGTCTGATGAAATACAGAGCAGAGCTCCTGTTGACAGTGATGGCAGCAAACAAAAATGATTTTTCTGCCGCCATTGCTTTTATGCAGAGCCATCCAGGGAGCAATTTTGAAGAGTGGGAAATCTGCTGCATGTAGGTCTCTTGGGTAATTTTAATGAACCAGTGAAATTTTTCTGCCAAGCATTTTTCCAATAAAACAATCATTTTCATCTGCACCGACTTAGATGCCATTTTGGATACTGTACAAATACCAAACATTGGGCTTTTAGATTTTAACCTTTAGCAAAAATGCGATGATGCATCTTAATATTGGACCATTTACAGAATAATTTTGAATGCATCTGTGGAAGAGAACAGTTTCCTCCCGTCCCTTTTGATTACTCTCCCATTGAGTTGCTTCTTGAGGTTTGGCATTTTCTCTGGGTGACTTCTGTTTCTGCTAATTTCAGTATTTGGCAAATAACTACCTCACTTCTGCACATTTTATTATTATGAGGTTAGACACTCATTTTTCTGTGGGCTTTTACACACTTCTTCACAGTGACTCATACTTTTCTGATGTAACTGCTGATAAAGCATCTTCCGTCTGAGGAATGGCAATCAAACCAAGAGAGCTTACATGTCACGCATTTGAAGTTACATTTTGATCTCCTTGGTGCTTTACAGTAAAGGCAACGTGGACTGATCTACTCCCGGTTGGGAATATTCCGGGGAATATGAATGGGGGATGAAGGCTGAAAAGATGGTGCCTGAATATGATTTTGTAAACTTCCCCTTAATTGCAACAGGAAGATAAATGTCTTTTTTCTTTCCTTTTCTCAATAGCCCTCTTTAACAAGTATATTATAGTAATTGTGTCACTCTTTTTTTTTGTAGTGTGAAATTCTTGTACCACGATGTAGTTTGGCTCATTTGTTTAAGCTGCTCTCCCAATAAGCACTTTATTGTGGTTCACTTGTTCTTGACGTATGAAACTGAACGTTTGGTAAAATGAATCCTGCAGTATCTAATCACCAGGAATGTGGTACTTCATTTTGCTTTACTTAATGATTCTGTAGTCTGGAATAATGCGTTCTGACATTTTGAGGATCGTACTTGGAAACCAAACCTTTTTCTTGCATTCCCATCTCTTTAAGTGCTTAGTGAATATTTCTGCACATTTATTTATTAATTGGTATTAGAATACTGATGGGATGTAGGATTCTGTTTGCCTTAAATAAAGATTGAAAGCTTTCCTTTTGCACTAGATAGACATAAATATTAGAGATTTGTTGCTGGCACTCGTTCTGTTTACTTTTAACATGCATTAATAATGTGAAAGAGGATAGATGGACTCTGAAGGGGTTCAGATGTTTTGGAGGCAATGCAGCATAATTCCAAATGACCAGGCATAAACAAACCGAGAGAAGTACATCAATAAAAAGTCAAAATCGGTTGATCAAGGAGCAAAATGTCTGTATTAATATACATGCAAAGTACTGAGAAGGGAGGCATCTCTTTTATATATCTGGAACCCTGATCAGCAACGACTGTAGCTTTATATGATAAGTGGTTTGAAAGAAGCCTTTCCCCATCGAGGTCCAGGACACAATGTGTTTTTATCCTTAATATTCATTTAAAGATCCCTGTGTTGGCTGCATTATTGATTTTCAATTAGAGGAAGAAGATAGCAGAAGTATAATATAGATCATATTCAGCAAAATATCAATTGTATATGGAGCACCCGTCAAAAATGCAGGAGAATATTGGAGAATGTTGGGAAATGATTAGAATAGTAATTATGCATCCTGTACTGTGGAACAACTATATCTTTTTACTCTGGGCTGTCCAGATGTGACACTGATACAGGGGTGGGTTCTACTTACCTTTACTACCAATTTGCAACAGGGCCATGCGTGCGTGCTCTTCTGCGCATGTGCAGAACCATTCTGATGACATCAGGGTTGGTGGGCAGAGCCTCCCTCCGGTTTTACTACCGGTTCTATAGAACCGGTGCAAACCGGGGGCAACCCACCACTGCACTGATAGAATATACATAGTGAGTACCAGGTTAAGGAAGGTTAGTTTATAACAAGGGAAATATCTGTTCTACATAATTGAGGGTTATTTTTTTCCTCAGTTGAATTCTATAATCAATTTGAAATAGTCTAAAGGGGTGAAGAAACCAGGCTGAAATCATTTTTTATTTTGGCTGCTAGAACTTGCTGAATATTTTCTAGACATAGATGCTCGATTCCAAAAGTTTTCAGCCGTCCATTTGTAAATGTGTTGTTTGTAGTGCTAACTACCCATCATAGAAATATGTATTTGATCAGGAAAAGCCATACATTTCTCCATTTATTCCTTTTGTGTTATTTCAGTCGAGCTTTTAATTAGCTACAAACCTGAGAGTATTCTTCTTTTTAAGCCACAGTTTGTAAGCTATGTTCATTAGGACTCAATGAGGGTAAAAGACTGCTTTTACTTTTCTTCTGCTTTCATCCCATCTATTAATAGCACCGAGAAGGACCGTCTATACACAACCTAGCCATGTGTGCAATATACAATATGTGTATATAATAAATGTGACAGAAACTCCACTATTTCTCTTAGCAACTGTGGGGTTTGTCTCTGCAGAGGCCTCCTAACAGGCTAAGAATGCAGGAAGCCCCAGGAATAAAGAAATCGAATACGTAGTGATAAAGAAGTTCATCATGATGAAGCAATTTGCTTACTCCCCAATTTAATCAATTACCAAATACTGTAGCTCTTTCTCATCTATGATCCAGACAAAGAGCAGATCACAACTTGGCTGACTCAGTTCAGGGCCCTGCAGATGGCTGTTAGGTGAAGGGTTACTTAAATGTTTGTTCAGCTCTCAGGAAGTCTGTTTTTATCCTTTCCTTGCTGTTTCCCCGATAGGGAAACCCAATTACTGGGTTCCCTGTAATTACAGATCAGCATTTTAACTTTTCATCTTCAATAATTTGTTACCCATCTATTTCTTCTTTAGTATTGGTACGATGGTGAGGAGTTGGGTGAACTCCCTCTGGACTTTGATGTCATTTGGGATGGAGATTTTGCCATTGACAAGCCACCAGGATTCAAAGGTACCAGCTCTGGGTATCAAATGTGTGTAGGTTTTAAGGACACACAATTCCTCTTAGTCTATCACTGTAAAACCGGTACAAATCGATTTTGGTTTACTAGTTCCCTGGAATTAATTTTTTTTATTATAAGTAGCCTAATGAAATAATACCAGGGATTTAATGTTTCAGAACAATTATGCAGGTCGAGAATGTTCTGCTATTTAAAGCAAAGACTAAGGTTACTTCCATGTCTCATTGTTTCTGTGGCCCAATCTCTCCAAACAAGCCTGAAACAGACCTGCCTATCTTCTTTTCCCTTGTTGATCTTGCAATACCAAAAACACAGTAAGCCCATTAGTGCTATGCAGTTGACCAATAGGAATCTGCAAAAAAACCTCTCTGCAATTGTTGCCTTATGAAAACAACTGGAACAACAGGAAAAAAAAACATCTTTTCTACCACACAAAAATAAACGAAAGAAATTGCTAGTATATCCCTTCCCTGTTTCTCCCCCCCGCCCCCCCGTTCTCATACACACATTTTCAGTATATGCTTTTTGTGTTGGTTGTTTGGGGAGGAAAATGAACAGTTGTAACAGGATGAACTGCTTAGCTACCAAGCCATCATTCATCCTAGATTAAAAATGCTATGCTGAGCAATGAAGGTGGCACGATAACAGGTCATCAATTCTGCAGCCAGGCACTTTTCTTAATATAGTAAAGGTGGCAGCTGAAGTGAAGGAGAGAGGAGGTTACAAGTTCAAAACAAAAATGCATACTTTTTAAACTACAGGAATTACTGTAATATGTCTAGTTTGCTGTTCCCTCCATTTCCTTTTGGGGGAAGTAACCAAAATTCCACCTCTCTCAGGGAAAGAAAAAAAAAATAATTCCAGCAGCTGCTTAGTGTTTGGCAAGCAGCTTGCTTCCTGCCAAAGAGAAAGTAGAAATAAAACTCTTTGTCAATTTCAACCTGCTAAATCAAGTCAGCATTCTGCTAAAAGGATTAGCTTGTGGCTGATGCCCATGGCGGAGAGATGATGCAAGCATTTTCTGCAGTAGGGAAAAGGGACTGTTCACAGGTTCTGCACAGTTTTATTGACACACACAAAAATAGAGATCTAGAGTAGTTTTCTGTCCTCACATAGAAATATCTTAAACCTTCCCCTCTCCCAACAAATCCAGCCACTTCAGTAAGACACAAATCCATCTGCCCCCATACTTTTCTTTCTATGATGCTCTTCAAAATGGGTCACTTCATTCTCCTGCACCAGTTCATTCTGCTATAGTGAATACCAGCCTGGATGCATTCAAAGCACAAGTTAACATGAAAACTGAACATATGAATAGTCACTTTGTTATCTTACAAGTTATCTCAGCACCATCTTCAATAGGATCAGCATAGTTATGATTATAGGTTAATTATCAGATAGCAGCTGGTGCCAAGCAATCTTTTTTTTTTTCCTTTAATTTATATGCCGCCCTTCTCCGGAGACTCAGGGCGGCTTACAATGCGTTAAGCAATAGCCTTCATACTTTTGTATATTTATACAAAGTCAGTTTATTGCCCCCACAATCTGGGTCCTCATTTCACCTACCTTTGAAAGGATGGAAGGCTGAGTCAACCTTGAGCCTGGTGAGATTTGAACTTGCAGTAATTGTAAGCAGCAGTTGTTAATAACAGTGCTTTAGTCCACTGTACTACAGGCTCTTACTCTTAATCTGCAGATTCTTTATTATTTTATCTCTATTTTTTTTCCCATTTTCCTTAGCTCTCTTGTATAAGTGTTCGGCCCAGCGTTCTAGCTGTGGATTGTGCCTCAAATCAGATCCACGTTATGAGTGTGGTTGGTGTGTACCTGAACGCCGTTGCCTTTTGCGTCCTCACTGTCCAGCTTCCAGGCAAAATTGGGTGCCACCCGGTCGACGTGGGGCTCGTTGTACTCACCCTCGTATTACACAGGTAAGAAGCCTATCAGCAAATCTTCACATACGTTCTTTAGGAATTATATAACCCAATTTTTCTCAGCCTGTATCATCCCTCAGCAAGCATGGTTGTGGTACATGTTGAATGGTGAATGATGGGATTTGTAATCCAGCACATCTAGCAAATTACAGAATGAGGAACACGGGCTTTCCACATCCTTCAATTAAAAATTAGGATGGTTCATAACTGATTAAAATGATAGAACCATGAATAACACCGTGGTCCTTTCCCCCGACACCAGGCAAAGAACCCACCTAACTTTAAAAAAATAAGTAAAAGATGCAACTGTTTCTTTGAAACTTTCTTTGAATTGGCAGCCTTGCCTTTATATTCTGAAATGTTATAAAGACATGAAATGTAATGAGGAGAACCTATAAAAATATGGAAATGTGAGAGACCATCCCACTTTGCCATCACTTCTGTTCACCCAATGTCCTGTTTGCACTGGCATCTACTACCATTTTGTGGTATATTTAAAGCTTACACATCTTGGGTGTAGTCTTTCAGTGGTTGGGAGGCTAATATAAGTCCAGTTCCACTCTGATTATGTATCTGATGAGCATGGAAATTGATTGTATCAGCCACTTCCTAATTTGGATGATTTCTTTAGGGATGCTTTCAGTATGATTTTTATGAATGTTAGAATCTTCTCTTGTACCCCGGATGGATGGATGGATGGATGGAAGGGAGGGAGGGAGCAGATGGGGAAAGAATAAAGGAATAAAGGAAGGAAGGAAGGAAGGAAGGAAAGAGAGAGAAAGAGAGAGAGAGAAAGAAAGAAAGAAGAAAGAAAGAAAGAAAGAAAGAAAGAAAGAAAGAAAGAAAGAAAGAAAGAAAGAAAGAAAGAAAGAAAGAAAGAGGAGGGAAGGAAGGAAGGAATAAAGGAAGGAAAGAAAAAGGAAAGGAAAGAAAGGAAAGAAGGAAGGAAGGAAGGAAGGAAAGAAAGAAAGAGGAGGGAGGGAAGGAAGGAAGGAATAAAGGAAGGGAAGAAGAAGGAAAACAAAGGAAGGAAAGAAGGAAGGAAGGAAAGAAAGAAAGAGAAAGAAAGAAAAGAAAGAAAGAAAGAAAGAAAGAAAGAAAGAAAGAAAGAAAGAAAGAAAGAAAAAGAAAGAAAGAATTTTCCAATACTTTTCTTTATGAACTCCTTACTTCCCACAGCGAATGCTTTTTCCTTCTCTCCCTGTTTCATCTCCTTCTTTCTGCAGGTATTGCCACTGACTGGTCCCAAGGAAGGTGGGACTCGGGTGACAGTTTGGGGTGAAAACCTAGGGCTTCATTTCTATGAGGTCGGTGTACGGGTAGCAGGTGTCCGGTGTAGCTCTCTCCCTGCAGAATACATCAGTGCTGAGAGGTAGGTGAACATTGGGCGAGGGAAAAAAGTGGGTAGAGTAAAACCTGGGATCAGTCTAAGAACAGAACAAGGGAATCCAGAGAGGAACCGAAAGATTAGAAAAAGGCTGTGTCATCTCTTGGCAGGGTCTGATTTGCTACTCCTGTACAGTCTATCAGCCCTGGTGGAATAGGGAGTGCTTTCTTCATATGGATGGAACCTGACTTTATTTGTAATAATAACACTAGTTATTATGTGAAAAACCTCATCCTTCCCATTTCCTCTTTCACTTTTTTCACTTGATTCTGCCAAAGAGTGCTTTCTGTGTAGACTGCAAAAATCTACTCCTGGATGTTATATTTCAGCTTCTTCACTATAGCCAAGGCTGAAGTCTGTTAGCAAAGTCTGTTGCTTTGTTCCTGGACATGATGTAGCGCCTTTTGGCTAACATTTCATAAGAACCTGTTGCAGCAACTACCACAAAATAGACTGAGAAATATTGGAGTATTGAACCTACCAGTAATAGATGGCATTTAGTGGTTCTAGTACTTCAATTTGTGTACAACACTTTATAAATGTTATCTTAAGGCCAAACAGTCTTGCGTGTATAATTTCCTTGAGCTTTTTTTTATTTTTCCCCAAACAAGATTTGGCTTGGAGGAATCAAATTTGAAGTTAAGTGCTGGATGGAGAACCTTAATATGTTCTTTGCCCTTAACTTTTCTCTTCAAAATTCCCCTCCCCCCCCAACCCCCTCACAGTTTTGCTCCTGCTTTTTACATTTGAAAACCAGCGTGCAAAACGTCAGGGTGTGTTAAGCACATCTATGCGTAATACCTTTTTTGGTCCTCAATGAGCCTTATAAATAGCACTGGGAAAGGCAGGTTGGTTTTATTACCTTAAATGATGTGGGAAGAGGCTGCTGGACCTGCCCAACCATGCAATATGATCAAACCTATCTAAAACAGGAATGATCGTGATGAATAGATGGTAGGAATTGGTTCACTGTACCAACGCATTGTCCTTTGGCAGAGTGAGGAAACCATTTGTGTTCTGCTTTACCTAGCTAGAGCATGCAGGCTGGAGCCATGAGAAGGATAATTGAGACAGTGCCTGTGATGTGAATACCCCACCTTTGCTCTTTTCTTTTTAATGTGTGCTTTGGCTTAATAAGGATATAATTCTTTGAGCCACAAATTGTGGCTTCTTTTAGCTCGTCAACGAGCTCATTGTTGAGATGAGGTTAGGATTGGAGACTTGCCTGTCTTGCATTCTTACTCATTCTGCCTTGCACTCACCTGTTCCTCTTCAGTTTATCTGCAGCATCTTTGAAAGGACCTGATTTAATTCCTTGATTTTCTTTTTCCCTATGTCACATATTCGGTCTCAGAGTTTGTTTGAGGAGTCAGTCCTTGAAATGCAAAAGGTACTATTTCCCCCTCTTGCCACCCAGAGAGGGAAGATGCAGATAGGGAAGAAGAAGACATGCACACATAGAGTGTTAAAATGACTGATTTATGGCATTTGAGGGAATTTGACTTAATAGAAAAAGGAACACTTGTCTCATACTTCCATTTACAACCTTCATTTTGAAAAACAAAATAAACCAACTTCTTTGCTATCATAGTCTGGCATGCTAGGAAACACAAGTGGAATTAAGAGGGGCTGTTTGTGTTTTGTCCGCCTTGGATTGTCCCTGGTTGCTTTACACACATATATTTTGCCTTCTTTCACGAGTCTTGCTTCCCACCCTGTAGGATCTGCTGTTTGGAGGGACTGTCTCATGCAACCTAAATCTCATAGCCTAAACTCCTGGAAATATTCAATTCCCTCTATGCAAAAGCATAAGAGGCAGGGTGCCATCCCATCCATCCTCTCTCACAGGCAGGCCTTTGGAGTCTCCTCTTTTGTGCCAACCTCTGATAGAGTTGAGTGAGGAGCATAGTAACTCTAGCAGAAAGTATTCCTGGCATCCTCTTTCTCGGCCATTGATGCCAAAGGGTATACTAGACACTCTGGTAATGCTAACAGTGCCAACTGTTCCTGAATCCCCCACAACATACAACATCCAACATCCACTGTAGTACAGTGGACTAAAGCACTGTTATTAATAGATTAATATCTGCTGCTTGCAATTACTGCAAGTTCAAATCTCACCAGGCTCAAGGCTGAATCAGCCTTCCATCCTTTCAAAGGTAGGTGAAATGAGGACCCAGATTGTGGGGACAATAAGCAAACTTTGTATAAATATACAAAAATATGAAGGCTATTGCTTAACGCATTGTAAGCCGCCCTGAGTCTCTGGAGAAGGGTGGCATATAAATTAAAGCCAAAAAAAAAAAAGAGAGAGAGAGAGAGAGAGAGAGAGAGAGAGAGAGAGAAATCCTAGGGCCGATAACAGACTTACAAAAGCTACTCTGGAGCAAATCAGGGCTTCTGTATGTCCAGCCTGCTCAAGAGAGTTTCCCATTCTGAAAGAAGGGATGGTGGATAGAGAAGGGCTTATGGAAAAGGTGGGCTGGGTGCATTGGCCTTGGCTCTTCTGACAGATCTCACCCCTTCCCCTTAGGCTGGTGTGTGAACTTGAGCCCTCACTTTTGCCAGATCCTCCCCCAGGTCCCGTGGAGCTCTGCGTAGGGGACTGCAGTGCAGACTACCGGACCCAGTCGGATACTCCTTTCACCTTTGTGGTAAGCAGTTTTATAGGCTAGAGTCATTATTACTTGGATAGTTCTAGATAGTTTATAATGCAAGCAACATCTCCCAGAGAGTGGTAGAGTGGGTTTTGCCCAGGAGGTAGGTTGATTTTCTTGGGGAACAAGAAATTTTTTGAAGTGTATATCTTAGCAGGCAATTCATTACTGATTTTTGTCCCCTGTAGACCCCCAGCTTTTTTGGGGTTGACCCAGAACGAGGTCCTACCTCAGGTGGGACAAAAATCAGCCTCCTTGGAAATCACCTCGATGCTGGGAGCAATGTCACAGTTGCAATTCGAGGAGCACCATGTCGCCTAATCAGGTATTATTATCCTTTTGATCAAACTGGAAAAACACAAAAGATTGCAGTGATTGGGTTTAGTATTGTGCTGAGTATTTTCGATTTAATGTACTGTATGAAATCTAGACACAGGTTTGCAGATTATGGTTTATGGGCAGCTATATTGTATGAATTATGGTACTATGTTTTATTCAACAAGTCATAATTTAGCAGACTGTATGACCCAATGGTACTGTTACCAGCACTGGTCAATCAAGTGCTTTCATTTTAATCATAAAGCCATACTAGCTAATGATTAGGGGAAATGGCTCAATGTGTCAAGAAAGTAGGAAGATATACTTTGGGCCACTTAATGTTCATAGACATTGGTCTCCTTGGAGAGCAAATGGTCTAAGAATCAGTGTAGGATTGTAGGAAAAGAGTTAAATTGGGAAGGCGCAGATACAGGCCCTGCTCAGCCTTGGAGCTCTGATTAGATATTATCTAAGTGGGAGGGAAAATAGAGGTCATCTGGTGTGAAATGGGGAGTAGTGGCAGTGGAGCCTGTGTACTGTTGGAAAAAGTGCAACATTTTACAGCTTTATTATGAGGTTGAGGCAATTATTAGGAGTCACGCCTTTAATGCTCCCTTCTTCCTTGCTCTCCCAAGTCGTAGTGCAGGGGAGATTGTCTGCCTGTCTCCCCCCTCGGCATTAGGCCCAGGTCCTGCCAACCTCAGTCTTCGCATTGATCGTGCCAACATCAGCACAAATGGGACAGTCTTCTTCCGCTATAGTCCCGACCCAGTGGTCACAGCCATAGAGCCTGCTTGGAGTATTGCAAAGTAAGTGTTAAGCCTCTGATCGTCCTATGTGGTATCGATAGGAGAATGTTAGCATTCTGGGAGCTTCTGTTATTTCTGCTCTGAATAAATCAGATTCCCCTTTAATCAGGAGTTTTGCGACAGCATCTGTAGCGCATAGCAGACTGGCTGATCTTGGAAAGAGCTAAGCAGGGTCAGACTTGTAGAGAGGGCCATTGAGAAATCCCCGGTTGCAGGCTAGACTGGAAAGACCAAATTATCAGAAAAAGACATTAGCAACTGACTTCTGTATTGCTGGAACAAAAGCAACATGAGGATAGTCACATAACTACCAGGAATCACATCTGATCTGAAGGAGTCCTTTGGGTTCGGTTTCTTTTTTTAAGAAACTGGATAATTTCTTGCGTCTCCCTAACTTCAGGGCTGTTGGAAGGACCCAGATCTCCTCCCTGCTCTTGAAGATAGATTTCTCCTAGAAAAATGACTCATGGTTGTTGTTTTTTTGCCACTGATCTCCTGCTTCATTTACTCATTTAGGGTGATGTGGAAAAACATTATACATTCAATTATATCTTCCAGTTTCTTTCACTGGAGTAAATGTTTCACGTTCATGGCGATATAGATGGATACTCATATCCACACATATATTATTTGTGTACACACACACACCCACACACACATGCACACACACACAATATATGCACACAGGTATCTTATTCCAAATGCAAGAAATGGTATTACCAATGCATAAAAAGATACCCCAGTATTATAGATGCATAATGCAACTTACAGAAGCTGGAAAAAATAATACTTGGCAATTGTAAGGTCATCTATTGACTTGAAAAATATGAGCATTTTTGTATTTTATGTAATAGGGATGCAGGATAGACAGGCCCATGTGTGCATGGGCATTTGTAATTGATTTGTGGAATGTAACATTGTTATTTTCCCGCATCACCTAAAATCTGAACTTTCAAAGACAGTCGTATTCTGGAGAAAATTGAATTATGAAGTGAAGGAAGCAGGACAAATGTTGAAGAGCCTTTCTTCCTGTTCAGTTTATTGGATGCAAATTTCTTTTACTCATTTGTTTTGGATTGTATTTATGCGCTGGTAAGTATAGTTTGAATTCTCGATCTGAATGCCTCCCAGGTATTGTGGTTATAGAAGTACCCCTGGTGTGATGGCATCATGAAAATGCAAACTAGCCAGCCCTGTGTGTTCTGGAAATGCTAAGTTTCTCTTCTCTGACTATGTTTTCCCTTTAGTGTTTGCAGACCAAAACCTTGGTTTCTTTTCTGCCCATCTTTTTACAGTGGTAGCACAAGCCTCACAGTGAGTGGGACCCACCTCTTAACAATTCAGGAACCACGGGTTCGGGCTGCTTATGGCGGGATAGAAACCATCAATGTGAGTCTTCTATGGCAGATGAAAACCTACTGGAATCAGAGTTTAGATCTTTGCATAAGGAACAAAGAGAGAACAAGAGAGGGTGTTTCCAGGGATACTGTAGATTAATTTGTTTTTGGGGTGGGGGGGAGTTGCAGAGTTCATATTTATTACAATATTCCAAGATTCAGTGTGACATCAGACCATTTTGCAGTACTGGGCAATTTGCACTCTTGTGTTTCTGTACAACCCACTGCAGTTAAAATCAAAATTAACTTAGGGAATCGCTGAGTAGAAGGAAGGTGAATGGAAGACAGGTTGACCTTGCAGTGTGCCTTCTTATTTTGTAGCCTCTGATAGATTATTCATGAGACCATGAAAATGGTCTTGACCAAAAATTATTACCTGTCCATTGTGTACAACCAGCTGCAATTAAGTTCAAAATTAACTTACATAGGCAACCTCTAGAAAGAGGGTGAATGGGAAGGCAGGTTGGCCCTGCAATGAGTCATGATGGCGTAGTGGTTAAAGTGCAGTATTGCAGCCTGACTCTGCCCACATCCAGAAGTTTGATCCTGACCAGCTCAGACTTCCATCTTTCTGAGGTCGGTAAAATGAGGACCTAGATTGTTGGGGGAAATATGCTGACAATGTAAGCTGGTCACAGATGGAGCGGCATCTAAGGCTAAGCCTTAATTGGTTTTAATTTGGCTTTCTTTTATTACTGTATGTTTTTTAACTTGTGTTAGCCTTAGGGAGAAGGGGAGCATACAAATATTTGAAAATAAATAAATAAATAAATAAATAAATAAATAAATAAATAAATAAAGCGCTATAGCACTATTCTTAGTTTGTAGTCTCTGATAGCTTATTCGTGAGTGAAAAAGACCTTGACCAAAAATTATTACCAGCCATTGTCATGCATTTGGAATTCCCTGGAAGGACAGACAAGAAATAAAAATGACAAAACCTAAAAATAAGATTACTGTCTTATTCCAAGAGAAAAAAGAATGTATATCCAAGATACAATTAAGAATGGGGCAGAGAATGTGCCAGCTCCCCTTAGGATCTAACCGGTTATGTTGAGGTGATCCATGTGGCATGGGCCTTGCTAAAGTATTGAATGGTGCATGTATAAAGTCAGAATTGTATATATTCAGAAGGCCATCCACCATGTGATTTTCTTGTTCATGGATACCTAGTTCTGCAAGTGAATGTTACTTTTAAATAGGTTTCAAATGCAAAATGCATAGAGGATGCTCAGAGCATTGGACTGCTGGGAGTATACCTCTCTTCCCAATCCTTGAAAAGATGCATACTGTATAATTGAAAGCTAAGAGCAATGCAAAGATCCAACTGCAAAGATGGCTATCTCTATTTTTTGCACAGGATGTGGGCTGGTTTTAGAAGGGCAGAGCTGATGGATGCCCTCTGTGGGGCTTGTGTGTTTTTTCTGGTTTGCTTCCCTGCAGAGTTGTCAAGTGCTAAATGACTCCATAATGTTGTGCAAGGCCCCGGGCATTATACCTCGGGAGCAGGCACTGCCCCTTGGAGGTGCTCATCCTGATGAGTTTGGCTTCCTCTTGGATGATGTGGCTGCCACCCGGACCCTGAACCGTTCTGCTTTTACATACTATCCAGACCCGACTTTTGAGACCTTTGGGCCCAGCGGCATACTGGAAATTAAACCCGGATCCCACGTTGTCCTCAAGGTATTGAAGCAATCTGTGTTGGGGCTTTGAAAATATAATTGTAATGAGGTTCTCCCAGTGTTTTAAAATACAGGTCTTTCTAGAACCCACTTGTTGGAAGCCACGCTTGTGACAAATGTTTTTTTGCAATGTTATAGGCATTAAATCCTTTTGGTCAGAGATAAGATGGCCCAGAAGAACAGAGGGTCAGTAGGCTACTATGGCAAATGCCTCTTATTATGCTTGAGCCACACAAGCGCAGAATTTAATGAGGGTTTATTAGTTTTAATGTTTTATGTGGTTTCTTCCCTTTTCTATAATGCAACTTTTAGGCCTTTGGCCAGTCATGGGATTCAAATAATTTAACAACTGGTTCTCTGTCCTAATGACCGACTGGGTGGGTGTGGTCAGGAGGTGTGACAGGCAGCACTTGGCCTCCTGCACACCCCTGGGAGCAAAAATGGGGTGCTGGGGGGCCACACTGCACCCCCCCCGCACCCCATTTTTGGCCTAGTAAGCCTCTCTGCACTTATCTGGGAGCCAAAACAGGGTGCGTGGGGACCAGTGGTGGGTTGCTCCTGGTTCTCACCGGTTCACAAAAACCAGTAGTAAAAATTTGTAGTAGTTCGGAGAACCGGTAACAACATTGGCTGGCCACGCCCCCAAACCGGTCCCCGGCCCGGTCGCCGCTCGCTTACCCCACCCCTCATCAGAGGCTTTTTTTTTAAACTTTTAAAAGCATTTTTTTCTACAACCTCTTCAGCTGAAAAAATGCTTTTAAAAGTAAAAAAAAAAACCTTTAAAAGCCTCTGGTGATCCCAGCTGAGTTGCCTGATCGTCAGAGGCTCCTAAAAGCATTTTTTTCTGCAACCTCTTAAGGTTGTAGAAAAAATGCTTTAAAAAGTTTTTTTAAAAAATTGGCCACGCCCACCCAGTCACATTACCCCCACCAGGCCACGCCCACAAAATAAGCCACGCCCATAGAACCAGTAGTAAAAAAATTTAGAACCCACCCCTGGTGGGGACTCCTGGAAGGGAGGGAAGGGGAGGGGCCAGCCAGCAATTTAACAACCGGTTCGCCTGAACTGGTTGCCTTTAGCTGCATAAAGGTGTTGTGACTACATAAAGACATTTTTTTGGGGGGAAATAAAATTAGAAGCTGGTGCAAGATGTCCTGAAAAATATTCTAAGAATCGGGGACTCTGCTCTTCTGTCTTTCTCTTTCTCTCTCTCTCTCTCTTTTTTTTTTTTTTTGCCAGTTTCTGGCATTTACTTCCAATTTCTGGCAAAAAATGCCAATCAGATAAAATTGATTCACTTAACAACCGTGGTGTTAACAAACACTTAACAAACGCTGCCAAAAATGCTGCATTCTTGGTGCCTTGACATACAACCTCAATGACTTATGATCGTAATTCTGGACTAAATTTTGGTTGTAAGTTGAGGACTACCTTAATCAGTGGAAATGGAAAGCTTGCAAGAAGGGGCAACAGATGTTGCACCGTATGTCCCTTACTGTCAATTCACAAGGGGGGAAAAAAATAAAAGTTTTCTAAATTACAATCTTAATTGTAGTTTACAATCAATTTAAAAAAATGCTTGCTCATAGGGACCAGCTACTGTAAAAGACATAGCACAGAAGGAAAACAGGATGCCAGAGGGGAGGTGTGGATACAAATTCAGCAATGGTGGGATTCAACCAATGTAACAACCAGTTCGCTGAGCGCGTGCTTTGCATGTGCGTTGCGTTTGGAAACAGCTCTAAAACTTACCTTTTCCTGCAGCCCTGATAAGTAAAACAGCTGAGGCGTGGCAATCCACTTTGTCGCGCGGACCAGCTGGGCTTCAAACAAAGGAAATATAGGTTGGTATAGCGCAGGGGCCGGCAGGCGGGCCCACCTGATCGTTGAAGCGAACCGGTTGGCTCTCAGCTGATCGTCGGAGCTACCGGTTCGAATAGGCTGAATCCCACCCCTGAAATTCAGGCACTGATTTCTAAAGATTCTTAACAATAACCACCAGAATATAGTTTCCATGGGGGAGGTGCTGATATTGTCTTTCAGCATATATAATAAAACAGTCCTGTTCTCCCCTAGATTCTCTCCCTAGTCTCTCAGTGACTCTTAAACATTAAATTAGCTTCCAAATCTAAACTGAGGGTGGTATAATCGTATATTTCCTATATTTTTCTTCTCAGGGCCGGAATCTGATCCCTGCAGTATCCGGCAGTACACGACTCAACTACACAGTGCTGATTGGTGGAGAACCTTGCACCCTGACTGTCTCAGAAACCCAATTGTTGTGTGATTCGCCAAGCCAAACTGGAGAGCAGCCAGTCATGGTACATCTGATTTGGGGGCGGGGCTGAGTAAAGGACTTCAGTGGCTTCAGCCATTCACCTCCATTCTGGGGAGCGTCACTAATGTCGTGGGCAGATCAGAACTTGTCTAGTTGATGACATTTTACATACCTTAATACAGGTAGTCCTCAGTTAGTGACCACAATTGGAACTGGAGGTCTGTTGCTAAAGTACCTTGGTTCCTAGGTGGCAAATCACACAATCGCAAGTTGTGATTTCACCTCCACATTCTCCACCAACTCTGCTTGTTGGAAGCCAGTTGTGAAGTGCACTTAAAGCGATCATTTGATCGTGGGACACTGCAATGCTTTTAATTGTGCGCTGGTTGCAAAGTGCCTGAATGGTGGTCATGGGAACACAGGATACTGAAACAATTGTAAATGTAAGGACTGGTTTCAAAGCTGGTTTTATTACACTATTGTAACTTTAAATGGTCACTAAATGAAGCAGTCAGTTCTTGAGGACTACTTGTATGATATTTTTTAAAGCTGATAAATCTCTGGGGAATGAAAAATTCCCAAAGACGTATAGTTTAGATTCAAAATTGACACAAGTGACTTCAATCATGTCCAGCTTTGTCAAATACAAGCGACTTCCAGCTACAAATTCACATCTGTACTTGAAACATTTGGATGTGGAGAAGATGCAGGGTTCCATAAGGAAGTCCTCCCATATGAACAGTAATCAGGAAACATGAGGTATTTACCCAAACTGTGGGTACTGACTCCTGACCCGGTTGAAAAATGAAAAGTGAATAAGAAAGAAAGATTTAATGACTTGCTTGTGTGATCCAGACGGTATCTCACTGCTAACCGCTAGAATTCGAAAGAGAGCATAAAAATGGGATCTTAGTTCTATCCAGGTAGACGATTCTCATGGAGAGCCAATCATTCTCTCTCAGCCCAACTCACCTCACAAGGTTGTTGTTGTGATGGAAATAGGAAGAAGGCATGTTCGGTATTTTGTTGCCTTGAGTTATTTATAAAAATAATACAGGAAGGGAGATGGATGGATGGATGGATGGATGGATGGATGGATGGATGGATAGATAGATAGATAGATAGATAGATAGATAGATAGATAGATAGATAGATAGATAAATAGCATTGCTCTCCTTTCCTTGCAGATCCTGGTGGGAGGTCTGTCATTCTCTCCAGGCACCCTTCACATCTATCCTGAGGCAGCCTTGCCTTTGCCAGCTCTGGTGGGCTTAGGAGCAGGAGGAAGCCTCCTTCTGGGGGCTATCATTGGGGTGCTGGTAGCCTACAAACGGAAGACACGGGATGCAGACCGTACTCTGAAGCGCCTGCAGCTGCAGATGGACAACCTGGAGTCACGGGTGGCTCTGGAATGCAAGGAAGGTACTGACGGGAATGGAAATTGACGGAAGTGCTATAAAACTGTCAAGAAGTGGCCAGAGAAAGAGGGAGGGGGCATTGTCTTTGTTTCCGAGGCTGAATCATTTCATCAATGTCTCCATTGGCATACAGCCCTGAGTAACGTCATATCCACAGACGCAGTTCTCATATATCATAGTAAATAAATCTAGAATTTTCCCCAGCTCTTTATAACACCAGGGCTTATTCCCCAGCTAGTTTTGTTTGCTTCTTATAGATTAGAGGGATCCTTTGTTTTTCCCATTCTTACATCAAAACGTATTTTGTATAGCCACAAAGTCGTGGAAGAATTCATAACATTTCATTCCCTCTTCAGCTCTCCCAAGAGTTAAACTTTGGCAAGGGAGGAAGAGAGGGCACCTTGACTTCCATGCATTTGCATATGCATTTGCATATGCATATGCAACCGACCAAGTTGTGACTCACACATTGGATAAATCCAAGCCAAGATCCTTTTCTCTGCAGTGTGGCAGTGCCTTATGTTCACTAACAAAAGTAAACAGCCCACAAAACTAGACAGTAGGCAAAATTCACCAGGTGTGACTCACAGAGCAAATGCAGGCAAGCCAATATATTTTTCTTTGCAGTGTAGGCAGTGCTTTACCTTTACTTCATTAGCAAAAGCTGCCATGCTCGACTTATGCAATTGTGTAGAGTCCTTTAAATTGGCTCTGATGATATCAAGAGTCTGATGTCGCCTTGAATTTTTTCCCCCTGAAAATCATGGGAAGAGATGGTGGGGTGGGGGTGGGGGCAGCCATGGAGAGATTCTGCTTTTGACAAAATATCTATCTAGTGCAATTTAAATTTATGAAAGGAAAAGCAAACATGGCTGTGTTGTAAAGTTGTTTTCACAGAAAAATAAAAATGTGTATTTTGGACCAAAAAAAGCTCATACTGAAAAGTAGAATGCCAATGGTTGTACAGTACATTATTTTCATGCCTCTTAGATGTACGAGCATAAGGGTGGGTGGGTGTGCACACACTCACACACACACACACTGTCCCAAGAGAATATCCTATAGGGCTAACCTAAGGTACATAACGGCCAAGCGGAGTGCATTAAATGGCATTTTCACTTCAGTTGCATAGTATCTCAAGATCAATTGTTAAGGCAATCTGAGACAGAAGATCCCACAAGCCTCCTTCCTTACCTCTCAATAGCAAGGAAAAATACACTAATAATGCCTTAAAGATGAGGGGGAATAGGTGACCATGACACCCCAAACCAAGTGGTTTGAGGCAGCTCTGCCTAATGATAAAACTCTATTTTCAACCCAGAATGTTTTAGAGTAAAGGAAGGGCAAGCAGAGAAGAGATTTGAAGAATATTATATCGCATGCTTTGAGCCATTATTCCAGTCTGAAATGACAGGTTTACCTGAGCCAGTTTCATATAGATAGAGGAAGGAGGGTAGCTTCAGAGACGTGATGTGGTTCCAGTTGGCAGCTAGTCTCAAAGGAAAAATTAAGAATTTAGATGCTTTTACAAGAAGGCTTAGCATACACTGGTTACATGTTGCCAAAACATGCACATGTAGTATGTAAGCATGATGATCTGCAGTCTTTTCCACGTGGAATATACCTGTTCATTTTTGCTGCCTGATCTGATGAGGCAGGACTATTGCAGGGCAAGGATGGCTTGATGGTTAATTCTTTGGCTCTGTTAAGGTCAAAAGAAGCAGAGTGGAAGGAAAAGTTGCCTTTGCAAACAACTCAACATTTTTAACAGTCTTCTACCTTCTTCAGCTTTTGCTGAGTTGCAGACAGATATTAACGAGCTGACAAACAACATGGATGGTGTGAAGATCCCATTCCTGGATTATCGGACATATGCAAGGCGTGTGCTCTTTCCGGGGGTGGATGATCACCCAGCACTTCAAGAAACCAGTGTGAGTGCTTGTCATGGAAAAATGAGACCTGTGTGACATGCTGTCTTAACAATAATATTAAGTTGGGGATAAATTGAGCTAGAGAGATTGGTTTATTCTGAGGTTTGGTACACCGAGGTCTTTATGTTTCGATATCTCTGGTATCATTGTCTCCTGAACTTGTCAACTCAGGTGCTTGTTCCTGAAATTATTGAGGCTGATTCTGCTCCTGATATGATGGATCGAGGAGTTCCTTCTTTTCACAGACCAGCACAGAGACCCCTTTAGTTTATAGATAATGGCCATCAAGCTGAACTTCTTATTGATCTTCATTTCCACTCTTGTTAGATCTACAAAACTTGCATTCAAAAGCAATATTCTTAATAGTATTAAAGAGTGGAAGCAAACAGAGGAAAACTACCCTTTTTTATGAGATTATCTATCTTTCTGTCTGTCTGTCTGTCTGTCTATCTGTCTGTTTATCATCTATCATTTATCATCTATCCATCTATCATTTATCATATCTATATCTGTCTATTACCTATCTATCTGTCTATCATTTATCATTATCATTTATCATATCTATCTGTCTGCCTGTCTATCATCTATCTATCATCCATCCATCCATCCATCCATCCATCTATCATCTATCTATCGTCTATCTATCTGTCTGTCATGGGGCTACTAGAAATGAAGTGGTATGATCCAGCAAGACAGTCTGCATGTTCCAAAGTGCATAGAGGTGGAACAGGTATGTGAAGTCAAGGGCAGATAAAAAGACTTTCCCGGTTGTGAGCAACATCCGGCCTATGGCATGTGGAAAGCTGAAAGGAATATTTGTCATTGCCCTTGCTAGCCATGTTGCCATATTGGCTTAGGGAGCGGTTTCTGTTTTCTTGCCTCTGCAGACACCACCAAGCACAGAGAAAGGGCTCCGTCTCTTTGGGCAGTTGCTACACACTCGGCCTTTCCTGCTGACCTTCATCCACACCCTGGAAGGCCAGCGAGGTTTCTCCATGCGAGATAGAGGCGCTGTTGCTTCTCTGACGATGGTGGCCCTGCAGGGCAGGCTTGACTATGCTACTGGGGTGCTGAAGCAGCTGCTGGCTGACCTCATTGAGAAGAATCTGCAGAACCGTGCCCACCCCAAGCTGTTGCTCCGCCGGTGCGAGACCTTCTTTGATTCCCATGCTCCTCTCCTCCTGGTCCCAATTAAGTGTTGCTATTTAACAATTAAATTGGCAACAGCGAACAGTGCATGAGTCCGTATTATCAACAATATTCTTGGGATAGTCAGAACACAAGTTTCAGACGCGATGTTAGAAGAGTGGAGAGATCCAGATCCTTTTCTTCCTTTTCACAAAACATTACTGCAGGCATAGGGGACTACTTCTTCCATCTCACAGTCGCAAGCAACACTCCTCTATCTTTCTCTTGTTCCAGGACGGAGTCAGTGGCTGAGAAAATGTTGACCAATTGGTTTACTTTTCTGCTGCATAGGTTCCTGAAGGTAAGAATGCCTGAAACTTGGGCCACCTTTGGGTCTTCAGACTTATTGTGTTACAACCCTGGAATCATTAGCTTCATCAATTTAATGATATTCTCTGCCCAGTGGGAAATTTGAGCAAAAATCCTGGGCACTGTTATTCAGAGATAGAAGGTAAGCCTTAAATGTGGAAGACCTTAATCCTTAGGGCTTCCCTTAAAAAACGAACAGATAGATTTGGTGAGAATAGAAAATACAGAGCCAGGTTTACCTATCATCTCATTTGCTACCTGCAGATTCTGATGTTTCCTGCTTCAAGCTTGTCTCTTTCTTACCTAGGAATGTGCTGGGGAGCCATTATTCATGCTGTTCTGTGCCATCAAGCAGCAGATGGAGAAAGGCCCAATAGATGCCATCACAGGCGAGGCACGCTACTCGTTGAGCGAGGACAAGCTCATTCGCCAGCAGATTGATTACAAGACCTTGGTGAGCTCTTGGGGTGGCAACAGAAGCAGCCAGGGAGCCCACCACATATTCCACTTCAGTAAATCATGGCTATGTGTGGGAGAAGGGGCTTGTTGCCTAAGTCATTCTAAGCTTGCAATTCTGGCTTGGAGGTGTCTGCACCACCAGATTAATGAAGCATTCTCATTTTGTAACAATTGGAAACCTTCCTAAGTGGGTTAATTACTTAATTTCAAAAATGGGGGAACCAGCCTGGAAGAAGCAGAGCGTAGATAGAGCTTGGAATTATGGGTGATGTACCATGAAAGATTACATTGTGCAAAATACCATAACGCTACAGAGATTTGGGATTTGATTGGTACTCTGCAAGGTATTTCATGCTGGGCCTCAGCTATGGTAAAGACAACAGGTGCTACTTACAGACAGCTGGTTGGGAAGATCGAAAGGCTCTTCAACAAAGTAGTCAAATATTTTGTCCTTCTGTGAATAGGCCTCATCTAGTTTCAGTATCACAAACCCCAAATGCAATTCTGTTATCTACATCCATTATTTGGCAAAAGTTTTTTTAACACACTGAGCACTGAAACACTTGTTGGGAGCTGCGTTAAAATGCAGAGGTCTAAATGTGTAGTTTTTCCTTAGCTATGGAAGCTGAGAGAAGTGGGATAGTTACTTCTCAATCCAAATCCTAGATCTGCAGATGTGCATACATGTGTATCTTTACCGTGATTAAAATGAGATTTCTTTTTCCTGCTAGACATTATTATGCACCCCTCCTGAGCCACCTGGGGGACCTGCAGTGCCTGTTAAAGTTTTAAACTGTGATTCAGTGACACAAGTGAAGGAGAAGCTCCTAGATGCCGTATATCGAGGAGTACCCTATTCGCAGCGGCCACGAGCTGAAGACATGGAGCTAGGTATGAAGACGGGAACATGGCAGAAAGCAGGTGGGGTTGTGAGCATGGAATGGACCTGGGTAATCAGCCACTGGCTTAAATTTGTAACTAAATAGGAAGAGAGAATAATAAAGCCAACTGTCTTCCCACTCGTCTTCCGGTTTATCCCAGAGTGGTGTCAGGGTGCTGGGGGACGGACCATCTTGCAGGATGAAGACGCCACAAGTAAAATTGAGGGAGACTGGAAGCGGCTCAACACGTTGGGACATTATCAGGTATTTGCCTTCCTTTTCGGGACTAATCAACTGTGAGGTTGGAGATTCGTTCTCCGAGTTCAGAGAACGAACCTCCACCTCATCCTCCACCTGAGCTAAGGATATTCGCCACCATCCCTAATTAACTTTCTTAATATGTATGCTTCAGTTTGGGACTAAAAACTTCAATAGTGTACATGAACATATAGTTTTAGCTTTCTTTTAAAGTTCTGAGTAGTTTGTATTATAGTAGTCACGCTTACCATAATATTGCCGGCAGTCAACACATTGTGAAGAATCCTTTAGTCACCACTAGAGTAGCATCCACTGAGATCAAAAGGGGGAAATTGAATTTCTCTGAATAAAGCCCCCCCCCCCAATGGCTCTTGGTTTTGGATTAAGGCTTACCTCAAGGTGCTACTCTTAATAGTCTTGGATTGCCTCAGAGGTCCTCCTCATGTTGGTGGTTTGTTCTTGTATATTTTTTTTAGAAATTAGTGCAATGTATAATTGCTTAAATTATGAACTAAGAAGCTTCCTGTTCAGCTTTTGGCTGGATCATAAATTTGATCAGAAAGCTTTGCCCAAACTAGCTTTCTCTTAACCACCCCAATATTTGTATGAAGGAGTGCACAAATACTGTGATGATAGAAAGTTAGTAATCCCTTTAGAGCGATCTGCAATCCAGCAGTATTGTCACCTACTGCAATCCAGCAGTATTGTCACCTACCACAGGCTATTGTGGTAAACAAAATGAAGCTCAGATCACATTAGGTAGGTCATAGTATTTATTGGCAAGTATTTATGAATTAATGTGTTGGCATATTCTCTTGACTGCATGATTGCAGATAGTTCTAAAAAGTTCACAAACTTGCTTTCATTTCTATATCCTTACTCTAGGTTCTGGTAGGGGAATAATGATTCTCCTCTAATTTACAGAATTTACAATGACTGCCTAAAATACATTGAAAGTTTGAAGTGTACTGATAGAAGAGAATATCAGGGTTAGATTGTGGGGGATCCTTGGTGCTCTCTGAGCTTGGTGATTTTCTTGCAGAAGTTTCATTACCAAACTAGGTGCTGGGATGGTGACATCATCAGAGCACTGATAATGTTACCTAGTTTGGTAATAAAACATCTGCAACCAAACCACCAAGCTCAAAGAGCACCAAGGACTGCATAGTTTGAAGAATGCTATATTAATGCTAAGTATTATTAATGTTGTTAACTGGTCAACATTCCTCTTTCTTCTCTTCCCCCATCCCAATCCATCTTATCTTTAAACCCACTTCCCCCACCCTTCCACTCCTGCCATCTCTGCAATTTAACACACAGGTAGCAGATGGCTCCACGGTGGCCTTGGTTCCTAGGCAGGCATCAGGCTACAATATTGCAAGCTCCTTCACTTTCACCCATTCGCTGAGTCGCTATGGTAAGGAATGGCACCTTCACCCCAGCTACCCACCCACCCCGATCTTCACCATCACAGAGATGCATGTCTGCCCTGAATGACTTGCAAATCCCGGATTTTTCTCCAGCAGCATAACCTAACATTGCAAAGAAATGCTTAATTCAGTTTGGGTGTGAAGGTACTCTAAAATGTAGCAGGGCTGTTTGTGAATTATGTGCTGCCTGGACCTCTGCCAAAGTAGTATATGAGATAGGTAGGTTGTCCCTGTGGAAGCACCCTTGGAAAGAATTATTTGTACTTTCAAAGGGTTCCCAGGCAAGGGAAGAATCCATGCTTCTTGCCCAAGGAAGTAAGCAGCATGGGTAACAGAGGGAGGGAAGGATGGGATAGGGATGTAGATGACCTCAGAGTAGAGTCTTCAACAGGGTTTCCAAGGGATTGTGGCTACCTCATTAAGATTTAAGCAGATGGCTACAGACTAGGGCTATGCAGAGATCCAGATTTAAATATTATTTGGAGGGGCAGATATGGACATGCCCTTTGCGCTTATCAGGAACACCTTAAAGCAGCCATGCATGTTCCTGGGACATGTTCCATACATGTGGGCAGGGGTGGGTTGCTGGGGTTCGGGAGAACCTCTAACTAAGATTCTGTGCAGTTTGGAGAACCCCTAAATTCCACTTCTGGCTGGCCTTGCCCACCCCACCCTGCCCCTCCCAGAAATCCCCACATGGCCCATTTTGGATGCAGGTAAGTGTAGGGTGTGCACAGAGGCTCAGGGAGGGCGAAAAACGGGCCTACCGGAAGTTTGGGCCTCCGGAGCCTGGGAAGGCCGTTTTTGCCTTTCTGGAGGCTCCACGAAACCCTTCGGAGGCAAAAATCCCCCCCCCCCCAGTGCAGGAGGCCGACTAGGCCACGCCCACCCAGCAACCAGGCAGAGAACCCCTTGCTAAAATTTTTGAAGCCCACCCCTGCATGTGGGGTAACTTGCAGGAACTCTTTGAAAATGTATGCTAGAGCAGTCCAGCCTTTCTGACTAAGGAGCCGAATTCTACAATCTGTATACATTGTGCAAATGTTCATCCTTTCTCATTTTTTTGTAGTTTTCCAAACACTGAAAATCTTACCTGCTTGCAGTTCACTTTACATTTTTAAGGCTGTTGTTATAACCATAAGCTCTAGAAATTTGCTTGAAAATAAGAAAGAAGTCGCAATGCTTCATTTTCTGGGCTTGCTCTTAATTCCTGCTGAGTTGCAGCATGCTTGTCCTCCTTGAAACTGGAAGGCATACCCTTGAAGTTGTATATTCTGGCATTTGGGACTTGTTTTCAGGATACAGCCTTTCCATCTTTTGTCTGAGCCCTCATAAACTGAGATTATAGCCTTGTGCAAATAAGCCTCTGTCGTTGTCTTTTTATGTGGCTTGGCATGTAGAGGCATGTCCTCTCTCTGACACACACACACACACAAACATAGGCTTTATATGGTGCTGTGGATGCTTCTTTGCATGAGAAAGGCCACCCCCATTCTATGTGTTCAGCAGCCCCGCAAACCTGAGATCTAAGTTATCAGTATTTCCGTGATCAGTCTTTGACAGGCAGCTCTTGCCACGTCTGAATTTTATTCCCTGGGCTTCCTCCCAGCATTATCCTGGCCTAGCTGTAATTTTCTTTGCTATTCCAGGCACGAAATGTCTATAATTTTACAGCCACTCCCACTTTGTGGTTGGAGCAGAAGGGGTATACTTTACCTGGTCTCTGGAGGGGTGAGGATGATGGTAATAGTGGTTCTGCTCAGATTTCAGGCTCTGAGCCTGAAAGAAAAAACAAAAACCCTTCCTCTGGATATAGAAAGGTTTTTTTAAAAGTTTAATCTCGGCTGGAAGGAGCTGCCTGGAAAGCAGGCTCTTTGGCCCAGGATTGAATTGAGCAAACTCAAAGTGACTTCATTTCTCTCCCCTCCCAACCCTTGTAGAGAGTTTGTTGCGTACTTCCAGCAGTCCAGAGAGCTTGCGCTCAAGAGCTCCCATCCTCACTCCAGATCAAGATTCAGGCACCCGTCTCTGGCATCTGGTCAAGAACCACGAGCATCTCGGAGACCCCAAGGAAGGGGAGCGAGGGAGCAAGATGGTTTCTGAGATCTACCTCACCCGGCTTCTTGCCACCAAGGTATGGTTGGAAGAGACCTGGATCTCGGAGTTAGTAGACAGGTTTAGTCTTCACCCTACATCACCTTACATTAACCCTACAACCTGGAGTGGAAGCATTCAGGCAAGATAGTCTAAGTTTAAATCAATCCTTTATTTATTTATTTATTAAATGTCTATGCTTCCCGTCTCGCTGATTCAGTGACTTTGGGGGACTTACAATAGAATAAAAAACAGTGCGAAACAGCAATTAAAATTAGAAAATTTGAATAGAAAAGTTAAAAGTTAAAAACCAAGATGATGGGTGGCCTGTGGATGAGAATCTTCTCTACCCATTCAGCCACCCCCAACATAGCAAGCCCTTGTCAGGGCCCCAGGCCAAGCAGCAGAACCAGATTTTTAGGCTCTTCCAGAAGGCCAGGAATGTGGGGGAAGACTTCATCTCCAACTGGAGAATATTCCATGCAGTGGGGGCCACAGCAGAAAAGGCTCTTCTCCTGAACCCCGCCTGCCAAAATTCTTTGGTTGATTGATGTCTTTCATTGGAAGATAAGGTATTGCACAGTTTCAGAACCAGTCCTTTTAACAGCCGACCAAGAGATTTTTCAGCCTTTGTTGGCTCTATAACTCTTGCCTTCAACAAAACTTTGCTAAAGAGACATTTCTCCAAATTTTCTCCCCAAAATTTCAGTTTTTGTTCAATCTTGCCAAGTTCTTCACATAGAAAGCCTGAATGTCCCTTCCGAACAGAACATTGTTTAACCTACCTCCTATCTAGCAACAGGAGCAGGAACATTGGTTCCCTTGCTTTGGACTCTATGCTATTTGGCCACGTTTCAATGCTTGCCAGCTGACATCTAAATAAAGTTTCAAGTGCTTTATTGACACCGCAACATCAGATCTGGCAAAATTAAAGCTGTAAATTGCCAGGTAGCGAAGAAGAAAAGCAAGTATCATTTGAAGTCGTGTATATTTGTGTTCCGTCTCTCTCTGTGCTTGATTTAATTACACTATTGTTATCTGGAACTTTGTTGTAATATTATTTGGTAATATATAGTAATGCTATCAAGATACTCACAGAGCAATCATTCCCATGTACCTTGGCAATAGCAGCAATAAATTAAATTGATGTGAAAGTAGCTTCTGTTGAAATGTAGATGCAATTTAAACTTGTGGATTTTGAAGGGATTAATGTTATAGTTCCAAATCAGGGCCATTTGATATAGATTTATAGTCAAACTCTAGTAACAGAGTACGAGATGAGCTGGGAAAGAATATCTGAAACAAAACACTGAGCCTTGTTATTTTTCTGGGAAATATTGAGATTAAATTTATTCTCTGACAGCTGTTTACAAGCACTCCTTTTATTTTCTGTGGGATCCTAATAAGGACCTTAGTGTTTGCAAAATTAATGATTCTCCCTTTGCATAATTTAGCAAACTATTTTGATCTAGACACCATTTGGCAGTTTTCAGATCATGTTGAGGAGGCAACTGAAAAATGGGCCAGTTTGGGCATCTAGTGGAAGTAATGGGTGACAAATAAAATGCACTCTTGACGATTGCAAGATTGGCTTTCCCAAAGCAGGTGTGTACATTTTTCTCCAAGGTTATGAAGACTTGAAATGTGGTAATGAAATTGCCATTTTCAGGATCTAGGAAGAACTCCTCAGATAGATATTGTGAGCCCCCTAGAGTTCTTTGCTGAGATGGACAGCTATAGAAATGAAATCAAATGAAATCAATCAATCAATATTTCTAGATTCAAATCACAGCCTCTACCCTGCCAGATGTTCCACCTACCAAGTTAAAGGGAAAACCTCCCATTATTGATCACTTCTGTTTGTTTGTTTGTTTTTGTTTGGTGGAATTTTGGTACTTCTTAATGAAGGGGGGGGGAGTTAGGAAAGGCCGTTGTGCTATCCCCAGATTAACAAGTTGTTCTTTCCAACCTCCTCAAAAGATACATTCCAGAAGTATTTGTCTTTTCCAGGGTACATTGCAGAAGTTTGTTGATGATCTGTTTGAGACAGTGTTCAGCACAGCACACCGGGCCAGTGCCCTTCCCTTGCCCATCAAATACATGTTTGACTTCCTGGATGAACAAGCAGAGCGGAGACAGATTGGTGATCCTGATGTTCGACATACCTGGAAAAGCAACTGGTGAGAATTCTGCATTTTGGTTTGTTGTCAACACATGCTATGGCTGTATGTCTGTGAACCACAGCTGGAAACCCACAGCCTAGCATGGCTGAGTACCTACGGTATCAGTCTGCTTAACTCAGAACTGAGCAGGTGTTTCCCAGAGTTCACACAGCTTTAAGCAAAACAAAACAACTCCACTCTTCAAAAGCATCAAATGGAACAATGAAATTGAACACCAGCCTTTAACTCCCTTTCATTTTCTCTTCTTCTTGTGACAGATCATTTGGCTCAAGTGATGGCAGTTCTTCCAATATCAATGTCTCATACCACTTACCTCTTTCTCAATTCTAGTTTGCCCTTGAGGTTTTGGGTGAATGTCATCAAGAACCCACAGTTTGTTTTTGATATTCACAAGAGCAGCATCACGGACGCTTGCCTCTCCGTTGTGGCCCAGACCTTCATGGACTCGTGCTCCACCTCTGAGCACCGCCTGGGCAAGGATTCCCCTTCGACAAAGCTATTATATGCCAAGGATATCCCTGTTTATAAAGGCTGGGTGGAAAGGTGAGGTGCTGGATAAGTGGGGTGGGGGGGAAATATGGATGATGACACTAGTTGGCAGATCATTTCCTCTTCTAGAAAATGGAAATAGTACCATTTCCAGATCATAGACTTCATATGCATGGCAAACTCCTGGTTAACAAAACACAATTGCTCCATTCACAGTATATGTTGTATCCAAACAAATAAACTCTCTTATTTATTAATATGATGAGCTAGTTCACACAACATGCCAAAGCAACCAAAGGGTTTCCACAACATGCTGAAATACACACTAGCCAACTGCATTTAGCTTAATCATCCGGTGTGAACTCAACAAGTATGGCTAACAAAACCAAGTCTGCTTGATTGAATCACTAAAAGATGTGTGGTATGTGGCCTCCTCTTCCTTTCATTACATCAGGAGTGTCAAACTTGCACCCTGCGGGCCAAATGCATCATGCGCTGGCCACACCCACCTCTGTTTTAGAGAAGGGGGAAAAAGTCATGATATGTCACATGACGACAACGTGACGACACGAGTTTGACACCACTGCATTACATAGAACAGGGCTCGGCAACCTTAAACACTCAAAAAGCCACAAAGTTCCTAACCAGAAGCCCCACCCCACCCCCCGTTCAATTGTGGAGCTGACCGGAAGTACAGTCCCCCCCCCCAATAGAGTCTCCTCCTAGCACAGCGTCCTTTTTCCTCTACCTGTCCTAACCGAAAACCGTATCAATTGTGGAGCCGACAATTGTGGAGCCAACTGGCAACAGGGAGCTGCAGCAGAGGGATGAAAGAGCCACATGCGGCTCCAGAGCTGCGGGTTGCCGACCCCTGACATAGACAAAGGAATGGATCTCTTTTCAAGTAGCAATTAAGGCAGAGGAACAGGAGAACCCAGGTGCTAGATTACTATAGGGAGTCCTTGACGTACGATCATAGTTGAGCCCCAAATTTATGTTGCTTAGTGAGACAGTTAAGGGAGTTTTGTCCCACTTTACGACCTTTCTTGCCGCAGTTGTTAAGTGAATCACTACAGCTGTTAAATTAGTAACATGATGGTTACATGAATCTGGCTTCCCCATTGACAATGCTTGTCAGAAGGTTGCAAAAAGTGATCGCATAAGCCTGGGACACTCTAATGGTCATAAATACAAACCAGTTGCCAAGCATCCAAATTTTGATCACAGACCATGAGGGTACTGCACCAGTTGTAAGTATGAAAAATAGTCATAAGTCACTTTTTTCAGGACTGTTGCAGCTTTGAACAGTCACTAAACAAATGGTTGTAATTTGAGGTCTACCTGTACAGTTGGACTCATGTCTTGGCCCAAAGAATGGCCAGCAGTACTGCCTCACACTCAGTATCTTCAGTAGCCTGTTGATGATTCCTGGGTAATCGTTGATGGTTTGTGTAAACTTGGGCCACTACGTGACTTCACAGAAAAAGGTAACAAGCAATCAAGTTAGTTTTTTCTAAATTTGTACAGAATATTATCCTGCAAGAAATTTGTTTATAATACAATTTAATCCAAGGGACTCTTTCCCTAAGTATCACATGTGGCATTCCGACTCCTTCAGCCATAACTTTTAAGGATCAGTTGTATGACTGTTTTGAGGTAAGAAATATGAAGATTATATGCTGTGAAATGGGTCAAAACCCACCCCTCTGACCTATCAACTGTTCTGTATGCTAATAAAAAGGGAAGTCATAAGAAAAACGGTTGACCCTGCCTCATGTATACAACTCCTTTAGGTTCATATGGCTCCCCCCCCCACTATTGTCAGTTTTTTAGGAACTTGGGCCAGGTTTTCCCCTCATCACATGCTGCTAATTAAGCTCTCCTGCATACAAAGCTTGTCTTCTGCCAGTGAACTAAGGCCACCAGCACAGATCTAGTAGTTACCCCATTTGTAGAGAATAGAGTTGGCAAAGCAGGAATCGACCATTCTCATGTTAGAAAGAACTGTTATGTCAGCACAGATCAAGTGCTTTCTGAGGCCATCAAGAGAAGACCAAATATCTATTGACTCAGAAAAGAAGGAGCAAAAAAGCCTAGAGTTTAAATCTTGGAGTATTGATTTATATAACCTTTGATTTATCTGTATATATGGCTTCAGTCTTGTCCGCAATAGAGATTAATCTTGCCAAGTCATGTTTGTGAGCCTTCAACCAAATCAGCCAATTATAGAATAAGGAATTATTTGTCTAGAGAGCCAGGATTTACAGCTATGGCTATCCGAAGCTTGACACTGTCCAGAAATTATAGCAAAAGAATTTAGCCACGTAATCTATGATAAATCTGCCCAACTTTCTCTAATCTGGGTTGACCAATTTCCAAATTTCCCAACCCGCACAGACATTGCTGAAAATTTTAGAAGTCTTTCCACATACTGGGAGAGTGTCATGATTGTGGAAAGTTAATTAATTAGATTTAGACATTGTTTTGGTATTCTTTCTTAAAATTTTCAGTTTGAGATGGGGAGCGAGTTGCCATATTAAAAATAGATCACACAATTCATTTCTTAGACTTATCTGGAAACAGTTGTAATTGCATTCTATAGATTGTGTCCAAAATTAAGGAATCATAGGAAAGGATGGGTCCATGTAGTACCTTCCACATTTTTTTAGAGTATTGCCCTTTATTATCCAACTGCCCATGGTCAAAGCTGATTTCATCTAATATATGTAGGGAGGACTGAATGAAGATTGAATTGTTCCAGATTGTAGCACTCTAGTTCCTTGATGCTCCTTTTGATTGCTTTTCTGCCTTGTCATCCCAAAGTTCCTGGCATTATAGCAGCTCTCTCTGCCAGATACCAAATTTGGCATCTATGTCCCCTCCCCCCGCCACCTGAAGTTTGCATGCCAGACTAATGATTAAAATCAATGTTTATCCAAATATGCCATTTATGCAATATTTGAGCTAAGTATTTCGGAAAGTGCAGCTGAGTGTCAAGGATGTTAGTCTGCTAAATTTGTGCGCTGGCTGCCATTGGTGTACTCAAGGCAAAAATCAATTACAATGAATCCAGAAAAATAGAATTGCATCATATTTATGTTTATAAGCAGTATGTTTAGGATTGTGCTTGTTTTTCCTCTCTCCACTGAGATGAGACGGAGTCATCTACTATATCTGCTGGTATATGAATCCTAAAACAATATTTGTCTCTATGTTCTAGGTATTACCGGGACATCACCAAGATGGCTTCCATTAGTGACCAAGACATGGATGCCTACCTAGTAGAGCAATCCCGTCAGCACGCAGGGGAATTTAACACGTTGGGTGCACTGGGAGAGCTCTACAGCTATGTGGGAAGGTACCGTGATGAGGTGAGGCCATGGCTAGGTTGCAACTTTTCCTTCCCCCTTCCCCTTCTGAACCAGTCTGCAAACTCCCCACCTGTCCTCAAGGGAGTTGCTAACTATACATCTTATAGGGCAGAGAACCTGTCTTGTTCAGTGGAGGCAGGGTGGCATTTGATTAGACGTATTCTCAGCCAACTCCTCTGGTAGCCTCTACTTTTGTTCAGCTCTGGGGCCTCTCATAAAATTAGTCCAACGGTTCAATAGCCAAGGAGTGATTTACGGCTTTGGAGAAGATATTGTAACAAATGGAGCCTTACCTTTTAATATCTGCACCACCCTTCCATCCATTTTTCTCTTCTTTTTAGTTTCCCCCTCTATGCCTGTCACTACCTTGTAAATAGGTATGTCAGCTTTCAGAGGAAGGGCCCTGTTTTACAGATGGTTTAATCCCAAGGAGCCAAAGATCTGTAAATCTGTCCCAGGGAAGGAAGCCTCTCTTTTTCGAACACTCTTAACTCCAGTCCAAAACTCCATCCTAATAAGTGGGCAATCATCTTGCCAACTTTTTTTACTCCTTGCTGTTGAACATCCGTTTTCAATTTTACTGGATATTTCTCCATCCTGGTCCCTTGATCTTATACCCCTTTTTGCCCCTGGGAATTTAGTGCTTAGCTCCTCCTGGGCTCTTTTGCCTTTCACTCTCTCTCTCTCTCTCTCCCTCCTCTTGGACTGAACATTTTGCTTCTAATCTCTCGTCCTCACCCCCGCCCCGCCTTGCCCCCAGATCCTGACTGCGTTGGAACGGGATGCTGCCTGCCGGAAACACAAACTGAAGCCGAAGCTGGAACAAGTCACCACTCTTGTTTCGGGAACAAGCTGAGGATGCTGGAGGGGGCAGGAGGGCAAAGGGAGCGGGCAGCAGGCATCCCGGAGAGGTGCCTCCGAAGGGACTCTACCTCCAACTTGGCTTGTGGCCCCACAAAGGGGAACAGACTTGATCTTTTTAACCTCCCGGGGGGAGGGAGCAAGAGACCTGTGACCTTTTCCCCTGGGGTGGCAGAAAGTCGCTGTGGTGCCTCCCCTCCCCAGCCTTCAGTCTGGAAGCAATAACAAGCACCCGCCCCTCCTCTGCCTCTGCCTTGGGAGGAGCCACCCAGAATAAGCAATGAGGTTGGGGTGCAGCCTGATCATGCCCCCTCCCCCTCAAGCCGGCAGCTAAATGGAACCCCCCCCACCCCAAATGTTTGTGGACCCCTCCCTTCAATCATACCAATCATCTCCCTAATCCCCCACTCCTTGTTGGTAGCTGGTGGAATCTGCCCTTGTTCTGTTTTTGGTAACCATGGCAATTGGATATTTTTAATCTTACCTGACAGTGCTCCCCCCTCAAACATTCACTCCTACCCCACCTGTTGTGCCCTCACTGGGTGCAGTGCCTTATTCATTAATTTATTATTGCATCTTGTTAAGATTATTGGCTGTAAATGATTCCATTCCCTGGGTGTAGAGATTTCAGTGTAAAAAGTCCTCCATCCTGCCCACCCCCTCACGTACCCCCCCTCGACCCCTTTGTTCTTAAGAGTCTGTGTAAATATTTGCACTGCAGCCTGGAGGGATTCAGTCCCCCCCTTCCTCCCAAAAAATAAAATAAAATAAATTAAAAATAAGAATAAGAATCCCCCTTCAGGGATTAAAGAATTGTGGTGGGTGTGGGGAATGCCCCTGCAGCAGCATGGGCTTTTTATTAGTTCATTTTATAATTACTTTTTCTTTTGCTAAATAAAAGCCTGGAAAAAAACACTGCTCTTGATATGATGTGGAGGGATTGGGGGAAATGCCAGAAAATGGGTATTCCGCGGAAACAGGCCCCCATACCCATGTGGTGGGATTCAGCCAGTTCTCTCTGGATCGCGCAAACCGGTAGCGGTGACTGTGGGAGGCTCCACCCACCCGCCCGGACATAATGCGCGACTACTGCACATGCGCAGAAGGCCGTGCGTATGCACAGAGGTGGCACATGCGATCATTTTTGCAAACCGGTAGGGAAGGTAAGTGAATCCCACCTCTGCCCCAGGAGTGGGTTCTACTTACCTTTACTACTGGTTTGTAGTGGGGATGCGCGCACCAGTGAGCAAAGCGAGTGCACACATGCGCTCAGAAGCGTTTTGATGACGTTGAGGTCAGTGGGCGGAGCCTCCTGCCAATTTTACTACCGGTTCTATAGAACCAGTGCGAACCGGTGGCAACCCACCACTGCTCTGCCATCATCCTCTTGCATTCCGGTATTACAAGGAGATACTTTGGACATGGCATCCCCTTGGGCAGCCTGGCTGTTCTTTTGAATTGCACCTTTGGGACAATGCCAGTTCATTTAGGCATTACAAATGTTGATTTTTTACAGTATAATTCTAGCTGATTCATCTGCCTGTATCAACTTCTTCTTTTTGCCCAAGTGCGTAACCCTTTTTAGTCACTGAATGTGTCTGCCACTAATTTGCTTGTGTATACAGATCAAGGAAGACTTATAACCTTAAATACCCATTGTGGACTGAGCCAATTTGGGCTGCTTACTCACCACTCTAAATGCGTCTGTCAGAAACCTTAAGAAGGATGCTTACTGGTCATGAATGGGTAACGTGTCTGCTGCACAAAGCGGGGAGCCTGTTTAACCTTGACTGGGGCAGGGAATTCCTCTGTTGAAGTGCTAGACTGACCTCCAAATACCCAAATAAACTAGGGAGAGTTGAGATAGACTGTACTATTTCTGAGGGTTGGTCAGCGGTGGAATTTACTAACATATATGAAACATCTTTCTATGAAAATGTAACATTAACAAAGCAAACATTTGCAAAGCAAAAATCCTTGCTTCGGCAACTTCCAACTGGGCTTATTTTCTATTTGCAAAAAATTATTTTAAAAAGAGAGAGAGAAAACAGTTTTAAAAAGTGTTCATCTACCTCAAACCTGTTTTTTCGGGTCAGCTTTGCACCACTTGCTGGATCACATGGAACCAAGTTGCTTCCATTCTTGTATAGGGATTTGATGTCCGTCATTTCACTCTCTTTCTGTGGAGACCCGAATGATAAAAATTGCCAACAACATTTCAGTATATTCCTGTATTGCCTTCCCACTTTTTAAAGACATTTTAGTTGCTGGGTTTTTTTTTTTTACGTGATTGCCTTAGCAGCCTATCTAATATGTGAACTGATAAAGTGGTGTTAAGTTTTTCATGCTTTTGTGCCTTTAATTAGCAGTTTCCCCTTTACAGCTTCTGCTCCTTGTTTCAGTGTGGGGATAACACCAGTGAACAACAGCAATAATTTATTCTCTGAAAGAGGGTAAGTCATGGTTGACTTCTCATTTCTCCTTTTGTTCACCTATAGTGTTATAATAAAATAATAATAATACTTAAAGCTCCCCCCCAAACAAAAACAAACAAGACAATTAATGTATAGCTAAAATCCCACTGTTAATGCAGCAATTGGAATCCTGGGCAGAAGTCGCCAGGAGGAAACTTCTAATTAAAGCTGTAGAAACTGGGGTTGTGAGAGAATATAGTACAGTACTAAATTAAATGTGCTGTGCAACCACTGTTTTAATTTCAGTTTCATGTGCTGCAAAACAAAACAAAAACCCTCTTAATAGCACTAGGGAGGTCAAGTGTGAAAACTATCCAAGTTATTTCACTTACGTAGAAATGTAGCTCTGCCTAATGCTTCCTTTCACCTCTTAACCACGTATGTTTGTGCACTTCCATATGTTCTTCTTTGCTGCTTCAGTGTCCATTGAATTAAAAGTTACCTGTTGCTGCCGGGGTGCCATTTGCTTCTGTTGTTGAGTTGTTCTGAGACAGTTATCCTGCTGAAATCCAGGCATTTTTAAAAAATGTTAAGCCCTCTTAAACCTTTGGGGCATCAATTAAGCGTCCTGCATGGCACTGGTAACTGACCTGTGGCATGTTCCTTTTTACTTGGTCCAAAGGCAATATTTGAGCACCGAAAGAAAAGCACCCAATTTATTCTGGGCCCAACTAACTATGAGTACGGCCTAACAGAGCAAACTTTGCAAGAATAGTTAGCAATAGACAACCTTAGTTAACTAACAACTCTTCTGTATGCTTCTTATCAGAGATTTCATTATGTATCCCAGTATTCACAGAAAACAGAGCCAGGGCAGTTGTGAAATTGTAGCCTCTGTGTAGAAGGCCGAGAGCAAAGCTGTGGCCTTGTTTCAAATGGAATGTGACAGAAAGATATATCACTTACACGCTTACCTTGACAGTATGTATAAGCATACTATATCTGCTTATACCAACAGGGACCAAATATATATTTATAGAGAGAGAGATAATTGTCAGCTCTTGAATTAAAATGTTCTGATAGTTGAATGGAGCCTAAGGCAAAATCCCTCAATCTGTTCATTTATGGCATACACTTTGAAGGGAGATTTTTTTTTAGGAAATGGGAGAAAATATTTTTGTCTGGTTCCTCCCTCCTCCTCCTCCAATCAGCTGGCAATCCGTGTTACTCAAAGAGCTTTTTCTGGAACAGCTCCTGCTCTCTATTCTTCTGTTTGCTATTACAATACCCTACTGTAGACAGACTAGCAGCAAGTCTATGAAAATCTACATACTTTGTTGCCTTCCCTATTTGTCCCTAACCACAGCACAAACATGCCCTGGCATATATTTCCTCCATCCCTTCCCCGCCCTATATAACTGTTGTCTTCACTTCATCCCTAACTCATCAATGAGACAGGCTGAAGGCATCCTTAGGTGTATCTGTGCTAAAATAAAATATGGTCCAGACACCCTCCAGGTGCAAAATCTTTTAGGATTTGTCACCTGATGACTTGGAGTAAAGTTGGGACTGGCAGAAATAGGAAACGCAGACAGGATTAAAGTAGGCAATAGGGAAGAGCAAATTTCATGCCAGAATAATTTCCTGCTGACTCAAGGGAGGGTGGGAGGGAGTGCTTTAAATCACCCGTGCCCAGTAGGGCTGGCAAAGAGGCTAACAATCACCTCACCTGCATGAAAGGGTGTGAGTCAGTGATGGGTTTCAAATTTTTTACTACCGGTACTGTGGGCGTGGCTTGGTGGGCATGATGTGGCTTGGTGGGTGTGGCACGGGAAGGATACTGTAAAATCTCCATTCCCACCCCACTCCAGGGGAAGGATACTGTAAAATCCCCATTTCCTCCCAATCATCTGGGTCTTGGGAGGCAGAGAATAGAGGAGGGCAGGGCCAGCCAGTATTTTTACTACTGATTCTCCGAACTACTCAAAATTTCCGCTACCAGTTCTCCAGAACTGGTCAGAACCTGCTGAAACCCACCTCTGGTGTGAGTGGGCATCATTTTAAGTCGCATATTTAGCCCGTCCTTTCTGGATTTGGAGACCTCCAGCTTTATTTGATTGCAGGTAGTCGTCAACTTACAATAGTTCATTTAGTGACCATTCAAAGATACGACAGCACTAAAGAAAGTGACTTACGGCCATTTTTCATACTTACAACCATTGCAGCATCCCCTTGGTCACGTGATCAAAATTCAGCCACTTGGTAACTGACTCACATTTATGACAATTCCAGTGTCCCACAGTCATGCGATCACCTTTTGCGACCTTCTGCCAAGCAAAGCCAATGGCTAAGGCAGATTCACTTAAGAACTGTGTTACTAATTTAAGAACTGCAGTGATTCACTTAACAACTCACTTAACACAGGTTTCACTCAGCAACAGAAATGTTAGGCTCAATTGTGGTTGTAAATCGAGGACTATCTGTACAGCCCCCATCACTTAGAAGACACCAGTTTGGGGACTGCTGCTATAGAACTTGGTTCAGTGCCTCTGAAGCTATCAGCAACTGAGGCCTTCTAGGAGAAGGGAAGAGTCGAGAGGATTTTTTTCTTAATTAAAAAAAAAAAACTGGTAGTGAGGAAGAGGGCCCAGGGATTGTGCTGAAGAATGCATTGTAGGTTTCCTCAGGCACTTGTGACTATCTGGCGGAGGTGATGGCGGGGATGGCAGAAGATGGTGTGTATTTTGATTTTTGGATGTGGGGATGAACAAACAAGCAGCACCCAGGAAGGCGGCTGTAGGGGAGACAGAAATGAGATAAAAGGAAATTGTTGGTGGCGGTTTATGAATAAGTCATGGATGCATCAGGAGCCTCATTAGCAGAAGCTCCAGGGTACGGGGGGAAGACTGTGCTTCCAAAGTATCATTCTGCCTTGCAGAATTACAGCGTTTTAAACTCGGCTGTAATGTGAACATGAGGAAAGAAGGGATATATAGTCTCTAAAGGCCTGTGATGTAGAACTTGCCTTCTCAAATGTATACTGCAAAGGCAGGTATGTAATTGTCAGTCATCTTCCTCTTCTTTGTTCACAAAAGGAGTGAAAACTTGTGCACTCCAGTGATTACTTATTTACTTCAGAATACTCCTTTTTTTTTGGTATATGTTATGATGAGTCATTTGTTCTCATTTTTCTTTTGCTCTTTTATCCTACTGGCATGTTATGTTTTCAACTTGATGTTAGATTGGGCTACATCCATGCGGGATGGGTAGAAGAAAGAAAAGGGATCATCAAGCAGAGACAGAGGGGTGGGTTGAAAGCATTCCAACCCTCCCTGCCAGGGAAACCACAATCTTGGCTGCATTGTGCAATTGCAATAGCACTTATATACCACTCCACACTGTTTTACAGCAGGGGTCTCCAACCCCAGTCTGTGGACTGGCACTGGTGTGCTGCATGTCAGAAACCATACAAATAAGCGAAGCCCCATTCACGGGATGCAGGTAGCATGTGAAACCACGCCCCCTTGGGTCCACAGAAAACCTCTTTCCACGGAACCAATCCCTGTTGCCCAAAAGATTGGGGGCAGCTGCTTTACAGCACTCTGTGAGCTTTACAAAGTCAATGTACTGCCCCAATAATCTGGATCTTCATTTTACCGACCCTGGAAGGCTGAGTCAACCTCGAGCTCCATCAGGATCGAACTCCAGACTGTGGGCAGAGTTAGACTACAATACTGCATTCCAACCACTGCACCACTAGAGCTAATAGTGCTCATTAGCATAGTAGGAGCTAAGTTTCTTTCCTTCATTTCCAACGACCCCATTGGGAAATGTGGTTTGCCTGCTACTATAATCAAGGAAACAACTATCTTGTTAGAAACACTGGAAAAGGAAAGGAGAAACTTTGAGGATTGTGCTAAAGAGGAAGCTAAGAGATTTTAGGCTGCATCTTCTTCCCAAAAATGATTGGTTGTCAACAGTGGTAGTTAATTGATGGCAGGAAGGAGCAATTGGTGAAGAGCAGGGGTGTCAAACTCAAGGCCTGGATCCGGCCTGCGGGGTGCTTAAATCTGGCCCACGAGGCTGGCCTGGAAATAGCAAAGGATTGGCCCACAATGCCTCTGGCAGCCGAAACAGGGTGCGGGCCGCACATGGACAGCCCCCTGCAGCACTCTGCTGGCCAAAACATCCTCCCTTCTCCTCCCTCCCTGGCCGACCCACGGAGGAGAACTACAGTGATCCAGCCCTCGAAGAAATCTAGTTTGACACCCCTGGTGAAGAGTTATAGATACTTAAGCAGGCCATGGAGAAGCCACCAAGAGATACATGTAGCTGGGTAAGCTATTCCTCTGGTTGAAGTCAAGGAAGAAATTTTTCAGGGCTATTCCAAGTTTCACACATCATGTCAAAATCCATAATCTGCGTGAGCTGGCCACAGCCTATAATTCTGGGGAGAAGGGAGTTTGAGTTCTAAAATGCCTTCCAATTTCTTTTACAGCAGATAGAAATGAAACTTAAGTTCAACTCTTAACTCTAAAATTACAAGCTTAACATCCATTTTATCATCTCTGAAAATTGCTAGTCATCAAATCCATATGTCATTATTTCATTTTTTATACTTTCTGCAAAAAGTCCAAAAGAGGATTCCAATTGGTTATAAATTTAGTCATTGTCTTTTCTCTAATCAAAGCAGTCGGTTTGACCATTCCAGCCAACTCCATCAGTTTTAACAACTACTTTTTCATTGCAGGTATCAAATCTTTCCAACATTGGGCATATATAGGCCTTTCTGCTATTATAATAATAGGAAGGTACCATGCAATTTTTCCAAGTTTTTGTCCATCCTAACAAAAATGGGTCTGAATTGCATATTGGCCTCAATGTTTTCTTAAAGTTAATATACTGTATATATTTTAATCCAGTAGTTTTTAGCTTTTTTACAAGTTCACCAAAGATCTTGTCCCTCCTTGCTGTTTATACTTCCAACTTATCTTTGAGATCCCTTTATACATTTTTAACAATCTTTCCGGTGATAAATACCATTTATACATCATTTTATGAAATTCTCTTTTAGATTGTACATACAATAAACTTCAATTCCTTTGTCCACATTTTTCCCATTACTGCAATTGTATCTTACTTCCAAAATTTTTAGTCCATTTTATCATGCAGTTTTTAACTTGTTCATCTTCAATGGAACTTTTGTTTCAAAAAAAGTTTATACATTTTATCAATGTTTATCAATTTCAAAGCCATATTCTTTTATCAATTTTAAATCTTTCTGAGAGTTGC